TCAACGATGGCATAATATTTCCTCTTACGTCGAATGTAACGTTGAAGAAATTCAATGAGTTCACTGTCTGGAACTTTAACGACAGAGGCTTGAACTTTTGACATAAATGTTTTCGCTGTTGAATCCATAGAGTCTGAAGTTGCTGATATAATGATTTGGTCATAGTAAGAGTCGTTTCCTAAACGCTCTGTTATGAGTATATGACGAATTAAATTAAATGTCTTACCTGAACCCATCTTTCCACAATAGAAATAAACACCATTTGAACAGAACTCATAGTCCTTACTGAAAGGAAGAATGAGAGAAGAGTTAAGTTTGTCTGTAGTTTCATTCATGTCTTCATCTACGTCATGTATTAAATGCTTCATTTTATCTCCATTAAAAATGCAAGTCAGAAATATTCAGAACATAGCACCGAGTCTAACTGACAAGAGTATAAAGATATACTATGAACACGTTATGATGAAACCAACCAAAATTCAAGAAAGTCAGTATACTTATGAATATCCAAGGCACTGGGTAGAGTATGTAGGAGGTGAGAAAGCTATTGAAATCAGACAGGTTCGAAGTATTCCAGCAGGAAGAACAATATTATTGAAGAACTTTAATGTTTTGAGATATAATGATGAAACAAAGAAGCAAGATAGTTTTCCTGTTGCTGTGTATGTGAACCTAGACACAGGAGATGACATGAAAGTTTTTAACACAAAGCTTCAAACGGTAGTGAGAGAACAACTGACTGCGGAAGGACATCCATTACCTTCAGAAGTTACCATAGCATATAATTTTGAAACAAACTCAATAGATTTTAAAGTCATCTCTGCAAAGAAGTCAGGTTTACATTTAATGAAGCAGATGTATATTCGAATGAAAACTTCAAAGCTATTGCATGGTTAGATAATGACGATTGCTTTAAGAAAATATTTAAATACAGTGACTCAACGATGTCAATAGATGACCTTCGTGGAATGTTACCATCGACGTTTACAGTTGAAGGCTCAGCAGGATTGCTTACAAATTGTCAATTGGTGGTATTTGGTCTCGTGAGAACATTGTTATAAAATCCAGTATAAGTGAATTTGCTGAAGAATCTATATTATGTCTTTCAAACTACATGTATTCGCCGCCAAGCATTATAGTATAACAAACTTTGTCAGTAAGTTTAACATAAGACTTGTCGAACCTTCTTCAATGAAAGATGTTGTGCTACCTAAAGATGGAAAGGATGGACTCATTATTGAATGATTTTAATAGCATATTAAATGAGCTTGTTCTTGAAGGTCATTCATGATGAAATAACTGTTGTAGAAGATGTTAGCAATTGTTCAGACATTTTGAAGCGTATAGATGAGATAAGAAATAAGTTAGATAGACCGCAAAGCGGTGAGGGCGAAGCCTGTGAGAACGCTTATGTTTCATTGACTTTCTCCAGTAACGAGAACTTTTATGAGATAATATTGAAGAGAGATGATTTTAATATGGTGTAAATGGTAGCTTGGGCAGCTTTAGGCGCAATGGGAACAAAAGCATTAGCATTTGGAGCAAAAGCACTTGGAGCTTATGACGCAGTAAATAAAATGAGTGGAGGAAGGGTTTCGAAGACATTAGATGCAAATAAAGGGAAGATTGGAGGCTGGGTTGCAAAGAAGTTAAGATTAAATAAAATAGGGCTCATAAATAAAGCATCCAATTTGGTTGCGACTGAGTCAGAAAATGCTTTAGGAAAGGACGATGAGTTTGCAAAACACGCAAAAGACTTTAATGACCAGATGAAAGGTGAAACAATGCATTTAAATAGAGTCGATGGAACTCTTCCTCCAGTAGTTCTTCCGTATGGTCCCTATGGAATGTATGGAAACCCTTACGAAAGACCATTTACCCATTGACTGGTGGAAGTAACTGGTATCATTACGGCCGAAGAAGAAAGACAGTCAAGTTGGAGACAGACGTGAAGAAAGCAACTAAAAAGAAACCAAGGAAGAGAGTTATAAAGCAATGAATTCAATAGGGTGAAAAAACAGGTGAAAAAAGAGGTGAGATCTCACCGCTTCACCTAAATTTATTTTTGCGCTATGTTTTCATACGTGTGAGTGGTGATATCATTAATTTTTAAGTTTATTTTTTATTTTATTTTTAATTTATTTTTATATAAATGACGAAAACTATTGAGATAACAAACTACAACGGTCATGAGTTCAAGAATTTGTTCTTCGTTCCTCGTGAAAATACATTCTATCAGATACGAGGGAGAAAGGGTAAAGTTAGTTTGAGCGTTTATGACTACAAGCATAATGGAAAGTTTATACAAGCATACGATACAAACGGTAAACGTGTTTCATTAGCTTTGTCAAAACTTACAGGTATAAACTATGACAGTGATTTTGACCTATATGAAGAAGAAAGTGAGTCAGAAGATTATGAGCTGTTATGTGAAGCACAGCAATGGGAAGCGCTGCAATACTTTTGTAAGTGAGAACGTTTATTTTTACAGTAGTGAAGTCGTTTGTGAAAACATTAGTGAATTCGTTAGTGAAGTCGTTAGTGTTGTAAAATATACGTTAACTGTTTTGTAAAGTGTCAAATTCACATATAATGGGTAAGGAGGCGCGCAGTGCCGCCGTACCCTTGATATGTATACTAACTTTTTTATTTTTATCATAAATGAATACCCCACAAGCTCAAAATTTACCACGAATCATAACAAGGGAGGAAATGATAAAAATGATGCGAGAACTTGCTAAAAATAACAAACCACTAAAACTGAGAAAATGTGGTTATGCAATAATGATGGAAAGAGAGATGTTGTCAAAGAAAAATAAAAATTAAATTTGGATTGAGTTTAAAAATTCATCTTTATTAAATTCATCTCTTCCAATCAATTTATTTATTCTATTAAATTCTTTTATTTTTGCTTCACTCAGTTTAATGATTGAACGGTAAGTTTCTAATTTTTCGATTATTTCTTTATCGTTTTCAACCCCACCGCATTGTGGCTTCTTTTTGTAATAGCATATTTTTGATTTAATTCTGTTTAGTTTCTTTTTATATTCATCGTCTGGACTCTTGACTGCTTTGTTGTCACTCATTTCTTACGAAATAAAAAAAATTAAATATTATTTAAATATAATGGAGTAATAAAATAAATCGGAATTTCTATTAATTTATTGTCAACTTCAACTAATGCATTGCCGTTAATATATCTAACAAATTCAGCTATTGTGTCAAATCTTCGTCTTCTTTTTGTCATTGATTTATCAGTTTTTCCATAATCGAGATGAATTAAAACTTTATTTCCTTGTTTAAAATTCATGAGCCCCGAATTAATTTGTTCACGTTTAACATCATTTAACTTTTCCATTTGCTTTCTAATATATTCCCATTCTTTTGAAATATCATTTTTCATTTCCACTGGTTTCATGTTTATAGTTCTATGCCATGTATTATTGTAATAATATACTAACTGCTGTATGATGGAGTCATGATTTCCATCCCAGTATATCTGACCGTTAACCCCTAACGCATCTCTAAGAGTTCTCATTACCGCATCAACTATTTTATTATGAAACGTATATGGAGAGGATGAAAAGAAAAAATTAATTTGTGGGAAATAATGAGCCATAGTTGCCTGAAATCCTTTATCACCATCACCCCTGATATTATCTACTCTTTCATGATCTAGTAAGTATTGAATAGCTCTTCTTGTTTCCTGTTCTGTTTTCCCTTTCACCGGAATGCAATATAAATATCTAGTGTTAATGTTAATGGCAAATAAATAAGTAACGTTTCCTTTTGAATATTCCAGATGATCGATTTCGTATGAATATGGATATGGTGCAAATGAAGGGCGACTAAATTTTTCCTTTAACGGTTGAATTTTTGGGTCAGTTGGTTTATTTAATATCTTGAAATCCTTTTTAAAATCTTTTTGCTTCTTTAATGTTTGAAATGGATATAATAAAGTGAATGATGAAGGATTAACTGAAGGAGGAGGCGGTACTGTCGTTGGAGGTTTTGGTGTTGCAAGTGGTTTAATTTTATCTGCTTTGATTTTGGAATTCATTCCTCCTTTCATTAATTCTGGATGTATTCTATTCATTTGTTTTAAATATGCTGTATATAAAGGTTTGATATACTTTCCCGCTTCGAGTTTATGTTGAAGGATGAATTCCAAAAGTTGATCTTCATTTAAAAGTCGGGCTGAATATGGTTTAACTAATGAATCATAAATTAAAGCTTGTGCTTCATTTATGGTCTGAAGAACCTGGGTGTTTTGCACCTTTTGTTTTTGTTCCTTTGTTTTTTGCGGCTCATGATTATATAATTTATATAATTCATCAATATCTTCTTCTGTTAATACTTTATTTTTGAAATCTTTCAACTGTTTAAGTTGTGATTTAGTTTTTCCCTTTGTATATTCATTATTTTTAATTTTGTCTTTAATTTCAGAAATTATTCTATCATGATATTTCAAAATTTCATTTTTATAATATGGATAATAATATTCCATATCATCACCCGTTATAGTGTTATCATATTTTTGGAGATATGATTTTAAATCGTAATAACTAAGAAAATTTTGATTAAGTACTAAATCATCAATTAAAATTTTTAAATCTACGTTATCCATTTATATAAAAATAAAATCAATGTTTTAAGGGTGCCCACCTCTTTGAATCATAGTATCAAAACCATCATTAACGGTTCCTTTTGTCTCTTCTGTGGCATTTTATTAAAAATGAAATTTTAAATTGTATTAAATAAATGGCATACAACATCCATTTTCACAATATACGGCCTTAGTGTGTGCTCCTGTTAATGCAGTCTTACCGATTGTTAAGCGAGTCATTGACCCGTTTTTAAGTTGTAAATTAATATTCTGACCATCAAATATCACTTTATCATTTATTATATCCAAATATTTTTTAGGTGTTAATTGCTTATTTTGTCGTAAACTAACACCCTTCATTTTTTGTGCAATCTTTTTAAAATCACTTCCATCAATTGAACCGTTGAATGATGTATAACACTTAGGACATAAAGCAACCATGTTATCACCTTGTTTCTCAATTGCTAAACCCAATAACTTCTTCTCATGTGCTTTTTCTTCAGCTTTATTCTTTAATTTAGGTTTAAATTTCTCATCAAAACAGAAGAAATCAAAAGGTGCGAATTTGAAAATGTTTTTATCATAAAATTGTTTATCGGTAACAATTGCTTGAAATGCTTGAGTGTTAGGAAGACTTGGGTCGCCAGCGATTGCCCAATAAGATGAATCAATATCACCTTCAATGAAATGAAAACGATTAACATCCATGCATTTATACATAAAATCATAAATGAAAACTAAATACCAGTATTTTGCGTTATCTAAAGTGAAGAATGCCTCTTGTAAACATGTATCACATCTATAAAATCTATCTTTAAGCATCACTTGATATGTATCTTCACCTATTTCTCTTATGTTTTTAAACTTATTTGACATACATGCAACGCGTGCCTTCTGTGCATTCATTATTTTAGTCTTTGCGTAATTTTGTGTATTCATTGCATCGTAACCATATGATCCATTAAGCGAAATCTTACAAAATAAACTTTTTCCTTTATTTTCTTCTAATTCAGCCTTTTGTCTTTCGTTCATAAATTTGTTCGCAAATTCATTAAAACAAGTGTTTTTAGTAAATGTTAAAATTGATTGAATATCATCGATGATAAAATGAAATCTGTCTATTAGATACCATAGATAATAAGAAGAAAATGGTTGATATTGGTTGTGTGTTGATGCTAACTGAGTTAATTTCCTCTGTTTCTGGTCAACTGGTAGATTGTTTGATTTCATGTAATCATACATAAAACTGCCAATTGTTTTTTCATCTGTGATAATATCTAAGTTTCTTATTATTGGTAAAAAGTTTATGTAATCATTAATGAATTTTTCATCAATGTGACCCTTTACTTCAGCCACAAATAAAGTATTTTTCTTCTTAATTATTCCCAGTGCTTTTGCTTTCTTTGTTGCTGTATCACAAATGATAACACCATTCAATCTTCCCGGCATATACATTTTATGGTCAGTATATTGAATGAAATCATGAGGATTAGATGAAAATGATGAAGGATATAATGAATTAAAGTCAACACCGACGAAATGAGTCATAATGTTGGAAGTGTCCTCATTTGATACAGTTTTAGTTTCTGGACTATATGAAAGTTTATTAATGTGCGTGATTCCTTTAAGATTAACACGATGTTGAACATTTGATAAACCACCAGTAATTCCATTACGGAGAATGTGATAAGCTTCAACTGAATCTAAAGTCATTGGTAAATTATTTTTTAATGCATAATTTCTTAAATTGATTCTTAAACGTTGAACATCTTCATCTTTATTCGATTTTACGACATTGCAATAACAACACATTAACTGACAATTTTCTTTGGTATGTGGTTTTTCATTATCGATTCTATCCAATGTTGGTTTATTTGCATATGTAAACGCTTTACCACACATTTTGCATTTAGATGAAAGGATTAAATCGTGATAGTATTGAAAATCATCCATTGAAACATTATTTTTAGTATCCCTTTCTGCTTTTTCATCTTGTTTCTTATATGATTCAATTTTATATTTCCAATACTTTTTCGTTAATTCAAAACTTGATTCTATCTCTTCCTCAGGATATTTTTCATTAGGATTAAAGTCTTTATATGCTAAAGCGTAACGAATCATTGAAGCATTCGATGATAAAGAAAGATTATGAAGCATATCAATTTTATAAACAAATGTTTCTTCAATAATTTTATCGATTGGGTCAATCATAATTTCAACATCTTTATTGCAATAATGAATAAATATTCTAATCTATTCGTAAAGTTTTTAGCATCATTGAGATATATTTGATAATCACTATCTGATATAGTTTCTTGAGTTAATGCTGAATAAAATGAATCTTTCGTGAATGGTTCCTCTTTATATAATTCTTCTTCGTAATTTTCCCATGTGATGAATTGATAAGGGAAAAGGATTTAACACGTGATTTATTGTTTCCGAAATCTTGAGTGAATTGGTCTAATGTTCCACCCGCTATATAATTTCTGATGTCAATAAATCTCAATTCATATGGAACGTTTGTTTTCTTTACAATGATTTGCTTAAATTGTGAAGATGAACCCAGCATTGATTTTATTTTCCATTTTGCAGTGTTTAAATCACGAAGAATTAAATTTAAATCAAACTTTCCCGAATTAAAACCTATGATATTCACTTTATTGAATTCCTCATCTAGAAGTTCTTTAAATGCTTCCTTCTGTTTTCATTTAATGTATGAGACAAAGTCCCCGCCGTTTGGTCCGTTTGCGACTTCAATAATTCTTCATATTGTTCAATATTTGATTTAGCAACTAATGAACAGGTTGAAAATAAAAACTCAATCCAATCAGAAATAAAAGAATCACTCGAAGTTAAGCAAAAATTCCTCGTATACGTTTTATCATTTAATTTAACCGTTGATGATACCATGAATGGTTTTAAGTAAGCGTTCAAAGTTGCACACTCAGAAAGTTGTAATTCTTCTTTAGTCTCTAATGTTTCGAAGTCAAAAGTAATATAATATCTTGTCGGTTTATAATATTTCTGCAAATTGTGAGCTAATAACCACTGATATATCTTCTGTTTCGTAATATGTGGTGCATATGGTTGCTGTGTCTTTTGCAACTGAACGTCTTGAATTAATCTCCCATTATTTTCTTTACATTTCTCACAATGCTTTAAAAATCTTCTTTGGTTTTTCCTTTCTGGATCATCACGGATAGAATAAACTTCTTCTTTACAATATGGGCAAACTCTATAGCCGGTGAGTGCTTCAACGTCTGTTATTCTGTCAGCGTGAAGTTTTCCACATGGACTCTGTGTTAATAAAATATTTATTGTTTCAAATTCTGGATCTATCATTATTGAATCCACTAATGGAAAGTCTACCTTATTTATGTCCACGTCTTCTGGTTGAGGATCACAATAATAGAAATCAATATTAACATTTAACATTCTCGCTAATCTCTCACTTTCTGATGAAATGTCAAACCATTCATATGCATCTATTGCTTCATTTAAATAGCTTCTACGAGTTTTAGGATTAACACCATCAGGAATGTTATAGAAGCGTTTAAATAACCTTCTACCTTCTGCTCTAATTTGATTATCATTCATTTTAGCTGTTCCGTTTTTGTTCATTTATGTAAGAATAAAAAATTAAAAAATAAAGTTTATTTTTTAAAGTCCATAAAATGAATTAAGAACACATAAATTTTTATCATCTGCGACGTGACGAATACATTTTAATTTACTCAAGAATGCGTACCCTGATACATTAAATCTAATTCCTGTCTTATTTAATTTCACAACTTTGAAAAGGAATGTATGAATAGCTATAAAATGATGAGAAGATGTTTTATGGGTTGCTTCCATTTTTTCTGAAATAAATGAATAAATATAATGTTTATAAGTTTTCATATCTTTTATGTTCTTAATAACGAATGGTATAGACCTTTCCACTTCGTCTTCCTTCGGTGCTGTTCTTTCATATGAAACATTATTGGTATCTTCAATAATGAAACCACAATCACACAAAATTTTATATGTTCCAATGGTTTCTTTTGATATTTTATCTAATAAATCAAAAACTTTATCAACACCTGTGCATTTATTTAAATAATAATTTGTGTAAATATCATGATCTTCTTTCTTAATCGTATTAGTTGCATATGTCACGTTTTTAAGAGCTTTTTTGAATTTCTCAGAATCGAGAGGGGGTGAAAATAAGATACAAGGGTATTCTTCATTATCAATAAATTGTAACTTATGTTTACGAATAAATTTAGTACCTTCTTCTGAAAGTGTTTCATCTATTTTGCCATCTAATAAATTTTGTGTTGATTCTGAGACATAATTTTTATATCTTTCTTCATGAGATTTCTGAACTTCTGATTCTGAAGCTGGGATATTCATCAAACCCTCTACTTCATTTTCATTATATTTTTCAACTTCTCTTAATTCCTTAATTTTTTCATCTATTTCATCTCTTATTTTTTTCAGTCTTTCAATTTCATTGTATTCATCATCTTTAATCCGTTCTTCATAATATTCAGGGAAAACATCAGGTTCTTTAGATTTTTCTTCTTCAGATGTGGGATATAAGAAATTTATAACATCATCTTTATTCATTTTTCCATCATAATCTAAATCATTTAATAACTCGGCAAATTTTTGACAATTTCTTAAATAATATTTACTAACTTCATAACACATCTCATCTAATATATCCTTTATTTCCTCGTTTGTGAATCCTAATTTTTTAACGTCGTTAGTTTTGACGCTCATTTCATACGAATTAAAAATAAATTATTCAAAAATGTAAGACATAATTTTTAAAGTTTATTTTCCATTCATGAGGTCTTTGATTATGACTCCATTGATTCCATGAAATTAAATATTCTTTATATGGCATTCCAAACGGGAACCGCGGTTGGTTACCATGGATTTCCGTCACCGGTCACATTTTAAAGATTTTTAAAGCCTTATAAAAATATGCTTTGTAAATCATTTTTTGTAAATCGGCAAAAATTTGGTAATTTTCTTCAACTAATAAATCTGCGAATAGCATTTATAATACAAGAACAATCTTTTAAAATGCGTTTGATTCATTTTTGTATAATTTTCATATAGGCACATATATTCTTCCGGGACTTTCCGTGATTTTACCGTAAAATCATTAGTTTACACCAATTTTTCCGTATTTTGAATAGTTTACTGCACTTTTTCCGTAAAATTGAGTTACGGGAATCCGCAAAATTTCCGGACCTCATTTTTCATAGAATATAATAATAATATTTGATAAAAAGATATATTATTTATTTTTTTGATTTTTGAATTACGGAAAAAGTGAATTGATAACTTGATTTTTTTATATGGTTAATTTTTCAAATGATATTATGAAGATCTAAAATATTAAAAGTAAAAAAATTGAATTACGGAAAAAGTGAGGTCAAAAGTGAAATAAATTTGCAGAACAATTTTCATTGAAATAAGCTTTATTTTTCATTATTAATAACAATGCTGTAATAAACAGAAATTCATCAAAAGTTGACAGCTCTCAATTTTTTGACATTTGTAAATTCTAAATTGAATGAGAAAAATGAAATAATACTAAGCATAATACAATATTCTAGATTTAATTATAATTAGGAAAAAGTTAGTTTTGAGAGTTACTTTTCATAGCATATAGAATGAAATCTTCTGAAAAAATATATCATATAAACTCATATTATTTTCTAATATATAACTATTTTATATAAAAATCAAATTCAATGATCTTAAAAGCGAAGGATAAACCTCAAAATTTACGAATATAATGAGTGGGAATATAATGCTTATCTATCATAAAACCATATGAAATATCAATTTTTGCTTTACGCCTAATTTTTGACGACAATTAGCAAAAAATGTTAAATGTTAACACTCAGTCCATTTGAATATGAAAAATAAAATTGACTTTGATTAAATGTTTTTATTTATCATGCAATTCTTCTTGCGACCAAAGATTTGAATAAAAGTTCAAAAAATAAGATAGCTTAAAAAATAATATACGGTAGTGTTTACTAATAGATGAATAGTATATAAATTCTATTAAAATGGATTTGATCCAAAAAAATATATAAAATTTGATCATAAATAAAATCGTTTTAAATTACTTCTTCATTTAAATTATAACAATTATTTTTGGTTTTATAGTTTTTAAAGCTCATGTGGTTTTTTTAACCACAGAATACTTATGTGCTGTAGCAAGCTTGCAATCCAAAGCTCACGTTAGACAACAAGAGTCATGAAGTCTCATACTAAGGGATATCCAACATATATTTTAATAATCTAATGTTTGTGACAAATATTCAACATAAAATTAAGTTTTCGTTTCGTTACAAGGCATTCATACTTTGGAGATATCATATTTAATGTACAGAAAAGTTAATATTAAACAATACATGCTAAAGAATTAATAAATAAGATAATAAAATAAATTTATACGTAATTACTTTCATTTAATATGCTTTATGCTGTATAATATTGATTAAGAGGCATTAAAAGGTTCCATAGTCTGCTTTTATAGGCAAGATTTTTGATAAAAATTTTAAATTTTGAAAAATGATGAGAAAAGGAAAAAAGGTAAATGAGAGCAAGAGGAGGGAAAAAAAGAAAAAGAAAAGGAAGGGAAGGGAAAAATAAAAGAAAGAAGGACATATAAAAATTTAGATGCGCATTCTTAATGCCGAGGCGGCTTGCCGCCGAGGCGCGATTTTTTTAGGCCTCTACGGTAACCCGGCAATGTTTTTTTAAATCTTGTACAGCCCTAATTCTTTATCATTATATTTATACCTCATTAGCTTATTTTGGCTTTCATATTCATTTAATAATTCACAATCTTCATTTTTAAATTGAAGTTTAACCCATTCAGGATTTAAACAATGTTTAATTAATCGCGGAATATCTGACATCATCTATATATAACTTCTTTTATAAAAGATAAAAAATAAATTATTTTAAAATTAATGTTAATTTTTTAAAATGCGTTTAGTATATAAATATATTTTAATGCATCGTCTATATATAGATGTAACAAAAAAAGTCACACAACCCTTCCTATCCTACTACTATTTAATTTATTCTTTTATCTTTCATTTGCCTAACCATAATAAGTTCATGCATCTTAGCAAAAGAAATCCTCCAGTATAAAAGCTTATAAATGTTGAAAAAAAGATATTTCTTGATATTATTATTCATTCCAGTTTAATGGCAGATGGCATATTCATTTTTCAGGATGGTGTGATCATTCCTCAACTTATAGCTTAAGTCTTCAGAGATGAATTTTCCAAAGAAGATTCCTTGCAACTGGGATTCTCCGAGTAGGATAATTTACTTCAATGAATGATGAAGATCTCATGCTATCATCCAAAATCTTCTTTTGTTATCACTTCATCCTATCTTATTTTGACAAAATTACATAAAAAAAATCGAAAAATTCAATGTCACAAGTTGCTGCACAAGCTGCAATTAAAACATTATTCGATTTATACTGGAAAGCCAAGCCAGAGTCAAAGCAATTAATTCTTGAAAGATTAGCCAACTCTGGCAATCATTCTCTGATTATAGGATATTTATCTAACCAATGGAAAGATATATCCGCTGATGCATCCCAAATTCCACAAGGATTAAACTTTCTCTCACAATATACCATATGCATTAAAGACAAAATGACACCTCAACTCGCTCAAATGATTTTTGCAATTTATTTAAACATCGTAAAGCAAAACCCTATTCCTATTTCGTATGATAATTATTCGAAGTTCCTTTCTATAATACTGGCAGTTCTCAAAGCAAAGAATCAACAAGTGATAATGAATCAATTAAGCCAATTGGATTGGTTATCAGAGATGTTTCCGATGGCACATTGCGCATTGTTCTTCCAGGAAGACGCTACACAGTATGTTAAAGAGTTTTTGGCTTTATTAAACAAAGCAACTTCAACAACTGCTTTAAGCACTTGGAATGAGACACTTTGCGTATTATTGAGGGCTAAAATAAGCTCCGGATACGATAAACTTGTTATTTTTTCATCTGTTGATATGACTCTCGCGTTAAATGGCTCATTAGAGTCAAAAATAGACGTTTTGCTCGCATCATACAGATATTTCAATATACAAGAAATTTCTCAGATCATGAAGATACATTTTGAATTCATTTTACAAAAAGTTACGCTTAAAATTCCATTAACTGTAATTTCGAAATTAATTTCATTAGCAATATTATATTTCGATAACTGTGATAACAAAGACTTATTAATCAGCCTCGTTTTTAGACATCTTTTCGTATTTTTACAAGAAAATAATTCTCAAGTCGAAATTTTCGCAAAATTCTGCCAAAAACTATCCGAAACACAAATAAATACAATATTTAAAGCATTTGCCAACAAATTAGAGTATACAGTCCCTTTATTATACATCGCATCGAATTTTCCAACTCAAGAAACGTTTTCCATACTAATTTCTGATGTTCCGAACTCTATGAGAGACATACAATACAAGTACTTCAAGAACTACGTAATGAGTGACAAATTCAACAAAAATCAGACAATTTATTTATTTTCATTACTTAATTCACAAGATTTCGACATAATTGAGAAGGTTTTGGCCAACGACAAGGTCCTATTCATGGTAAACATGGTCAGATACCTTCAAAACAACACAGATCGCGATAAAATTTTCCAAATAATCAGAATTTTACAAAAATACGAAACATTTCCAATAATTCAAATAGATGAAATCATTGATTGCGTTGCCTCATTGATTTCCGCTTATTTCATGCATGGAATTGAAGAAAATGAAATTACAATTTTATTTAACTACTTTGACCACTGCAGGAAGGGTATTAAAGGCGATTTTATCATTCCTAAGAACGAGAAACAGACGTATCCCACGTATGTCAAGGATTTCTTCAGTAGCCGTAAAGATTGGAAAAATATTGTACACGATCGTTCGTTATCCCGCATCAGGAAGGCTGAAAAGAGCATGGCAGTTACAATGATAGCCCTTGCCGATGAAGATACCGCGTTTCTTCAAGGCGTTGCGTTCACAAAAGACGATATGAAGTTATTAGCTGCATATTTTACGGCCGCCAGTACTAATTTCGGTGATGCCGTTCTCCAGTATATCGAAAAGAACGTAGTAAAGCAGTCTGGACTCCTTGGAGGCATATTTACCGCGAAAATTGTTGACAAAGAGATCTTACGAGTCGCTTTATACACTTTTAAGTCGATTTGCAGCTTCATTGCCGTTACTGATTCTCTCCTGAATATTCTCTTAATGCTTTTTAATGAGAATTTCCAAAATCCATTGGACGTGTCACTTTTGTTAAAAATTACCAAAATAATTTTTGACAGATTTTCAAAGAGGATCGACAACACAACATTGATAGATAAGTTGTGTGACATGTGCGAAAAAGTTGACTCCGTTTCATTTGAACAAACAATGATTTCTCTCTTGAAATCGAATAATGATTTGTCTCAAAAGGGAGCAGAGAAGGTTTGCAAGTCATGGATAACAGTTCTAATAAATCCACAAACACCTCTCATAGAAAAATCCGATTTCGAAAAGGAATTTCTTGAGAAAAATTATTACCAAATAACAAATAAAATTTTTGTCGAAAATTTGACAAAAATTTTATCGGAAAAGTGCCACAACGATAACATTTTTATGTCATTCAAGCGGTATTTAGAGATTGACAACGCTTCCATTCGCAAGTACCTTTATATTTTCATTGGAAACCTTCTTCAAAGTTCGAAAATCATTTCTAAATTCGCACAAGAAAACGTCAGACAAATAACAAATGTTACATCGTATTTGCCTGATAACATGGATACAAACGACGCATACGAGAAATCCCTGCCATTCTTTAACGAACTCATTGTAAGATTGGCTTTTAATTTTGAAGAATTGTTCGAAATTTCTGAGAATCTTCTCAAAATTTGTGACAAACCGTTTTATGAATTATCATTGTTTTATTTCAGTTTGGCGAAGCATTCCGGGAAATATTTATTAGTTAACCAAGGCAATTTGTTAATGAAATACCTTTCTTTGACATCGAATTCGAATTCTGTCATTGAAAAATACAATGAACAAATTATTTTGAATTTATTTGACAGTTATCCGAAATTGTTGATGAACTTGTTGTTGTTTAATGGCCAACACAAACCAACTGAAGCAATGTACGACTTACTCACGAAAATCAGGAGTTTTCCAACAACATTTTTCGATATTTCGACAAATTTGATTGAAACTGAGACATTAAACATGAATTTTGTCTTCAGGCTGTCGAAATTCTTCTTCTTCGCTTTGAATTCCAGACAAATAACTGTTGATTACAGATGTTACGAAGTTTTTCTTTTGATTTTGACTTTGTCAAATTTGTTTTCAAATGATGAGAACTTTGAAACTGTTTTAGAACAGACACAAGTAATTAACAGCATCTCAAACATTTTGTTGAAGACAGAGATGACCATGAAAACTGGTGAAAGCGGTTATCTTCAAACCGTCGGATTATTTACCAAAAATTGTTACAAAAATTTACAAAATTCAAATGACCAATTAAAACTTTTACAAAGTATTGCGAAATACTCAAAGTCTGCAACACTTTTCTTTATGAATACTTGTTTCGTTGTTTGGTCTTTCGCTATATTTAATGATAACAAACTCTTGGAAAATGTTTCTATTGTTCTTTCCGACAAAAGATTGACAAAAACAAATCATTGCAATTTGTTGAAAGTTTTGTGTTCAAAAGTGACAAACGATACGTTCAAAAACGTGACACAAAATGTAATTAAATCATTTTACAACAGTTTTGTTATTTGTTCAACAATTATTGATAAGAAGAATTCTGATTTTCTTTCGAAAGGATTCATTTTAATTTATAATAATTTGGACAACGATTTGTTCAAACAAGAAAAGAATAATATCTTAGAAATTGTTAGGAAACTGATTGTTTTTTCGGATTCAAAGATATATGAGAAAGAAGATTTCTTAGTTTTCTTGCAGAAGTTCATTAAATTGAGTGAGATGCAGATTCCTGTTTGTTTCCCTGATATTTTCTTTGAAATGACAAAAATTTTGTTGCAAACGAAAGATTTGAAGTTGTTTAAGATATGCTATGGAAATGATATTGATGTTAAGAAGATATACAAGGATACTGCAGCTCTCGTTGGACAGAAATATGTTCAGATAGCTCAGATTGCTATAAATACTTTTAACAGTAATAATAAATTAAATATAGAGGATTTGACAATTTTAAATTACATTGTTTCTCCTCTTTCCAGCCTCGAATGCGATAGATTAGATGTCTTAGATCAGTTTGCAAAGATTCTTAAGAATGCAGCATTGACAGGAAATGATGATCTAGCTGTTCTTGCTATAAATATGCTCGCAGATTTAGTTTAAATTCTGATTTTATTTATATTAAATATTACGTGTTTAAAAAAATTGTCAACATATTTCCTTTTTATTTTAGAATATCTTGCACCTGAATGACATAGTCTTCAAGTTATGAATGCGGAGGATTGTCTCATTATACGAGACATTGACAGCATAAAAATGCATATTATCTATTACACCTTAAATCATATCGTTTATTTCATCTTATTCCTGCATTTTCAAATTTTTTTACCAAATTTTAAATACATATCCATCAAAACCATTCATAGCATACTCTAATTTAATGATTTCAAGAAAATATGTTATTCTTGCAAATACAAAGCCCTCAACTTTAAAACTCATTGATTAGAGCATAAAATATTTATATTTATAGTTATTGTCATAAATAGAAAAAGATTTTAAATATGAAACAAGTTTATTCATCTATTTCTTTAAAAAAACAAGGTATAAGAAAATTAATAATTAATATCGAGAAGTATAATTCTCGAAAAGGAGAGGTGAAGTCTTCTAGATAATTTTGTACTTATTCCTGAACTTCCTCAATTTTAACAACTCCGAGTCCATCTTTTGCTGTAGAAAGTTGAGCTAAGAAGCCTGATCTACCAAGAGCAACAACTTGGGCTTTAACCAAATCTCCAGGCTTAGCAAAATCAGATGCGATAACGTTATCTACATCATGCTCTTGAATATCAACTGATCTTAGCTCAGCCAATAATGGAGATTGTAAAGGCTCGTCGTTACATGAGAGTAAAACTAAGTGTAATTCTTTTCTTTTAGCTCTGATAACACGAGCAATAACAATATCGTCAATCTTTGGAATAATTGCTCCGCGAATGGGAATAAATTCGTCGTTATCCATTTTTCCCCAAAGAGTGGTAAATTTGGAGCAATCATCACGCTTTGAGTTTAAAGGAAGGGTATCACCCGGTAACAAAATAGTCATATGATTTGTTTACGTAAACTTTTCTAAAAATTGTAAATTTCAATCTAATTGTTTAGAGTAAACACTTAGAGTGTCCAGAAAAAACGGTTGGCGGCAAGAAAAAGCAGTTGGTAAGCACAAAAGAGCCAGAATTAGGGCAAAAAAGTTATGTATTCATATAGTTATGGTATTCATATTATATATTTAATTTTAGATTCCATAAAAATGATACTCAGCTGGAAATACGAAAATTTTTTGTCAGATTTTTTACAACAAAAAAATCTATTTTTAAACGTAAGCGAAAAGCTTTCAAATAATCTCTTGATATATTCTACATATATATTATATATACATCATATTTATATTATTAATTTCCCATAAAACTGCGTGCCAACTGTTTTTTCCAGTGCCAAGGGGTTTTTCCAGACCCTCTACAAGTAATTATACAGAGGCATCTTTTCCAACCACTTCTACTGATTAATCTTCGATCAGTGGAAGTGATTGAAAAAGAAACGTCTCTGCATCAGAGAAGGACTCCGCTGATCTTCTGATCAGCAGAGGCCAGAGTGGAAATGGCCTCTGCTGATGCAGATTCAGGAGCCCTGAAGCAAATGTGCACTCAGACCGGAAACTTTATTCGCAATGTAACATCGCGGAACAAAAGTGAAAGCTTTTTCCAATCTGAGTACACATATGCAGGGTGCCAAGTCAAGATAACTTTCACAAATTTTATAGTATTGAATTTCATTTTGTAACAATGACTGAAGAATTTCTGGAAGAAGAGAGTGACTCTTTATTAGAAGATCTTTATCATGCTGATGAAGAAGTATTTGATATGGATGAAGAAATAGAAGATACCAAAACACAAATTGATGAATTAATGAAAATTTATTCTTCATTAAAAACTCATATTAACGAAATTCACATTGATCATATCGCCAAAATAACAGATCTTAAGAATGAAGTCGAAGAAACAAGATATCAACTTCAAGATCAGCTTTCGCAACAAATTGAAAATCAAAATGCCGAAATAGAGCAAATGCAGAGAGATCACTCTCAAGAAATAGAAGCGATGGAAGCAGAACTTCGATCTGTTCAAGACATACCATATGTTTATTTAGAAAAAGAAGTTGAAGAATTCAATAAACTAAATTCATTAATAGGCCAACAACAAGAAATGCATAAAACGCATATGACAACACTCAGACAGTCGAATACAATCAAAACTAACGATAAAAATTACAAAAATCAACATGATTTTTTATTAGTCGAAATCGAAAACCTTCAAGATGCAATTGCACGTACGAGAGATAATAGAAATGAAGTGCTACGTGGTTTAGAACAAAATAGCCTAAATTCACAACGACAACACGAAATTACAATGAATCGCCTTAAAAACGAAATAAACAAGCGAGATAAATGCATGGAAGAACATAAAAAGTCAATAGAAAAACTTATCGATAGAGAAAAGAAGTATGCACAACAAGAAATTAGTCATTTAGAAAATAATATTAAACATATGAATGAAATCAAGAAAAAACTTATCAAAAACTGCACAAAACAAGTATCTACAGTTCTACAAAACATATACAAGGCAGAGAGATCTCTAGAAAAAGCAGATTCAGCGAATAATCAATTATTAACTCCAGAGATTTCAGAATTTGATTTGGATAAACTTCGACAAGAAAAAACTGATTTAGAGACTGAATTAGCAAGAATTAAAGAGCTAAACAAACAAGTTTATAACGCAATTGTTTAGTTCAATGAATGTTATTTACTTTTATTGTTAGATATATATAATAAACATATAAATATTGCTATTCTCAAACTTCATATTTTCTCTGATATAAAATATAGTTTTTCATGGGGAAAAATCTTACAGGACATTCTAATTAAGGATACAGTTACAGCTACCCGAATTCAATTCAATATTTTTCACAAATTTCATTGAAAATTAGACATAAAAACATTAAGAATGCATAATTAACATAAAAAAGTTTAAACATAGCATCTCTCATGTGGATAATTTACAATTCCTAAACTGTGAGAAAATACCATTAATACCTTTAGATCTCATAGTTAAAAAAATGTTAGACATCTGGGAAGATAATTATCCGAGATCATATCAGTCGCAGCTTAAAAATGGAATGAAATCAATAGCTTTTTCAAGTTCTCACTATATAAGATTCGTGTCTCAAACTTTTTGTGATTTCTTTTCTCACGACTTCAAAATATGGATATCCAGAGGATTATGTTAGAAAACAAGATGTTGTTCATTTGAATAAAATAAAAATAGTTTTATTTAGTAAGATATTCCCAGAAAAGATGTGTAGAAGGATAACGTAAAGATTTGAGACTTAAAAGATTTTTGGAAACATGATGAATGTGACATGATACCATAAGAGTTTTAGGAATTCCTGAAGAAACAATCATTTGAATATATTCAGTGGATGTGTTCTCAATAATAAGAGGACATCGAATGGATTTGCACTCATGGAATGCATCAATCTCAACATCTGAAACTGAAAGTGGGAAATTGATGTATTTGAGATTAAGACATTTGTTGAATGAATGATCTTCAATAACAGAAACACTATCTGATTCAATATTGATTTTCTCAATGTTGTTACTCGAATTGAATGAATAACTACAGATAACACTGCAGTTAATGTTGAGTTCTTTGTCTTTTGATTCACTCAAATGAAAAATAAGTTCCCATTTAGTATTGTTTTTGTAGTATAAAGTATTATCAATACATCTGTATTTATCTGATGAAAAATTACTGATATTTGTAAGAGATTTGCATTCTGAAATAGAATTAATTGAAAAAGTATCAAGTAAATTTGTTTCATTGAATATAATTGATTTTAGTTTCTCACAATAAAGAAATGAATAGTCTAAAATATATTGAATAGATCGTGGAATATTAATACTTTTTAATGAAGAACAACTCTCAAATGATTTAATTCCAATCGATTTTGATCCTTCTCGAATTATAACTTCTTCTAAATTAGTACATCCACAAAAACAATTATCTGGAATATTTGTAATATTAATAACTTTCTTTAATCTAATGCAATTCTCAAATGCGTTACTCATAACATTCAAATTTGGTGATGAAAATGTAACAGATTCTAAATTAATGCAATCTTTAAATGATGACATTCCTAAAGTTCGTAAATGTGGAAACGAATAATTAAATGATCTTATTTTTGAACAATTTCTAAATGCATCATTTTCTATATAAGCGATTTGAGAATCTTCTGTGAAATAAATATTTGTAATTGTAGAATTTTCAAATGCTTTTACTTTGATTTTTGTAACAGATTTAGGAATTGTAATACGATATGAATTATATGCCCAATATTCATAAATCATGGTTTGCCAAGAATCCATAATCAAACAACTTGGTGTAATAATAAGATCTGGTTCATTAAGATATGAAATTGAAACTTTTGTATTCCTTTGAATTGAATCACGGGAGAATAGGATTACAAATGAATCAGAATTAAAAAGAGTTTTGTAAGTGAATAACAATTTGACCGAGTACATAGGTGTTGAAACAAAATTAGAACCTGTAACACTCATTGGTGAATTAGGGAATATAATTAGTTTAAGGTTATAAGATGAACCAAATACATCATCGCCAATGTAATCTAATGGACCTAAAAAAGTAACATTTATCAAACTAGTGCAATCATAGAAAGCAGCATTTTCAATCCTTTTCACATTTGCTGGGATTGTAATTGTTTTGATAGATGATTCATAAAAGCAATGCGCTCCAATAGTTGTTACTGAATTTGGAATTTCATATCCTGGTTTGTTACAAATAAAAAACAAAATACTTTCATTTTTTGAATAAATGGCATAGTCTTTAACTATTAAGTAGTTATTATTAGGATGAACTGTAAATTTTATTATTTTTTTATCTGAAAATGCTATTCCATCAACTTTAGAAACTTTTTCTGGAATTTGAAACGAAATAATTGCAGTATCAGTAAATGCATTCCATTCTAATGAAGTTAAATTTGATCCTTCCTTAAAAGTAACTTTTTGTAGATCATAACACCAATTAAATGCACATTTACCTATTATTTTAACAGAAGCTGGAATGATAATACTGGTCAGTTGAACATTACAAAAAAATGCATAGTCTCTTATTTCAAGGAGTCCTTCTGGTAAAAGTATCTGGGTGACTAGAAAGCAGCCATTAAATGCATAATTAGATATTTGTGTAAGTTTAGTGCAGAATAAGAGATTTATAGTGGCAAGTTTTGAACAGCTTTCAAAACTTTGAAATCCAATTGTTGTTAAGTTAGGATTTTCTTGAAATGAAAAGGAAGTTAAAGTTTTGAGTTGGTAAAAGCATTTATCTTGGATGATCTCACATGCGGATGATATTCTGAGATTAGGTGATGTATCGTTAACTTTTGTAAGGATTTTTCCGTCACTTGAATAACAACTTTTGTCAATATCTTTGTAAAAAAGTACTAAAAACATAATCATAATGAATTACTCAGGTATGCCTTTTTCTTACGTCTTTGTTTATGATAGAAATTTGATACTAAAATAGAAATCAACATCATCAACGAAATAGGAATTTCACAAAAAAAAATTCTCTCACTTTTTATTGAAATGTTCATTTGATATTATTTCGTGAATAAGATTTAAGGACAAAAAAATTTACAAAATTTTAACTTATTGATAAAAGCATTGTAAATTTATATGCTAAATATAACATTGATTTTGAAGATCACACATACATCATCTTTTTTTTTGGAATCTTCTGCTTAATGATCAATCGAGGACAAAATAAATATATTTTATATATATATATATAATGGTATTAATAGTTCCATGCAAACTTTCAGACCAAAATTTGTCAAATTCACTGTTTTCAAGAGAAATTTACAATAAAAAGTTAAAAATGTTTATTAGTTGATAAATTTCAAAATAGAAGAAATTTCTGAGTTGTTGAAAGCTTTTTTAGTTCCAATCAAAGACAAAACTTCTTTCGCTGATTTAATAGCATCTGTTCCTTTGACATTTTCAACGGTTTCAAGAACTTCACTGATTTGTTCATCACATTCTTCAAAACAATTGATTTCTTTACAAACAAATTCTCTCAAAATCTTCTTTGATTCTTTGACTGGGCAAATGAATGAAAGAATGTTAAGTTTATCAATTCCTTCGTATTCGAAACAGTCATTGATGCAACCACAAACTAAAACAACGGGAACCTGCTTAGAAACTAAAAAATCAATCTCATTCTGAATATCTTTCTTTTGAATCTTCTTGTTCTCAAATACTAATGGAATAAAAATTCGATCATTTGTGAATTTTGTTGACACAAAAACGCCATCAAAACTTGAATGAGAAAATCGATGGCCTAAAATAGAATCAACTGCAGAAAATGCTGAATTAACACCAATAAAACAAACTAATGAACAAAATCTGTCAACACTTAAAACTGTTTCTTCTGTTGAATGCAAACTAACTGTTTTAAGACACTTGTTGAAGTAGTTTTTAACTTGACCTTCGAAATTGTTCCTTTTGACACAAAGACTCTTAATTTTAAGTGAATTTGTGGCAAATGTAGCAAAACGATTGTTATCTAATGTCATAACCAATGAAGGAACAAAAGAAGACAAAAGATGTGAGACCATTTGTGGTGTAATTTTATCGGTTTTATTGATCTTGAAAAGACATGTTTCTTTAGGAATGGTTTTCTCTCATTTTTTGACAAATTTAATTTTGGTGACGTTTTCTGTTGTTTGTGTGAAAAACGGTTTGTCATTATCGTCAAATGACAAAATGCCACTTAAGTTGATTGATGTAAAAACTGCTTTTGAACGGACACCGCTGATGAAATCATCATCTAACAATGAAAAAGCGGTCTGGTTATCTCTGATGGCAAAGCAATTAGATGAAGATGATGTGACATTGATGATTTTTCCTTCGATTTCTTTAACAGCTGAAATTTCTGAGTCATAAATAGTAACAAATGAATTATCAGAACATAAATAGAATGTGTCATTAGTAGAACCAATGAATTTGACTTCAATTGGAATGTTGTCGATAATTTTAGTGTTATTAACATCAAGGGTTATCGTCAATTTTGAGAATTGTGACTTTTTTATCTCTATAAATTAAAAGTTGATTCTCAAAAAAGTGACAAAGTTGACCATGTTGGATTTCCTTGATCAAAACATTTTCTTCGACAAATGTATCTGATAAAGGACACAAATAAACTCTTAAAACATCGTCCGTTTTAAGACAAACAAGTAATTCACAGGCAATCTTGAAAACTCCAACAATTTTGCATTTAGTCGTAAAAGTGACAAAATTGTTAGAAATAAACAAACCGTTATCAATTTCACTGATACGATATTCATTTGTGATGTCTGTGATCTTATGATCGTTTGTAGATTGAAAAGTGAAGTGACATTTCGGATCAGTGAAATCATCACAATCCATTTGAATTTTGTCATCTGTTGTCTTTGTCTTCATAGAATTCTTAGATTGTTATTGGATGTTCTTGTAAAGATCAAATGGTGACAGAGTCAATACTGATGTAAGATTTTCATGACATGTTTCTGTCATCTCTTCAATGCATTTAGTGAATGTGATTTTGTCGACAACTTCGATATCTGGTTCAGGAACTTTGAAAACGCGTTGGTTGTTTCCGATTCGTGCGTTGTATTCTGTGACATCTTTGATTGTAACGAAGTCGTTAGATGAGATATTCTCCATTTGAATCAATCGCTGACGGAAAACTTTCAAGATCTTGATGAACTCATCATGAAGAGAAATAACAACTGGAATAATTGACCGCTGATTACCAATTGGTCGTTGTTTGATAGTTGAAATTGTGTTTTTAACATGTTTAGACATCTTTTCGAATAATTCGATGATTTTGTCATCTGGGCAGTTCTGGCCACAGTTCTCAATTGTCTGGTGGATCTCGGGGAAGCTGGATTTCATTTCAAATTTAGTTTTAGGACTTTGGCGATCAAAACATGATCGACGAAGCCATGAAACAAATGGAGAGTCTTTTTCGCGGTGTGGAATGAAAACAGAGTATTTGAACTCTTTAGAACGCCTTGATTTAAGACAAACAGAGCATGAAAGTGTCAAACTGGATGATGCAGCTGATAAAACATCATCAATGCACAAAAGATCAACAAATGAATTGTTTGATAAGTCTTTGATGTTGTATAATGGTGTGACATAGTTCTTGAAGAGGTGCTGGCTGTCTTGGTAATCAAATTTAACTGGTTTCGCTGAAAACATGGAAAGTAGACGGTATAACTGGAATTGTGTCATAGCAAAGGATTCATCGATCTCTGGAATGCCGTTTTTGTCAAATATTGTTGAAATCTTTTTAAGATATTTTTAATAATTTATCTCATTCAACGAGGAAAGGTCATAAGCCTTAGAGATTTCGTTTTCTGTAACAATGAGAGTCGAATATCCTGTAGTATACAACTATGAATTAGTTGGAAATTCATGATTATTAAAATCAATTTCGGTTATTGTTATATTTCTTTTTTAGTAATTCCTGATATATATAAGTGCCCTAATTTATGACCAATAACTATCTGAATTGGATGCCAATCACATGCAACTGATATTCTTTTGTTTCTATAAATCAAGTGTCCATATATGTCACTCGTCAAAATCTGATTTTAACCTAATTTAATTATAATACCATCATGAAAATCACCAGATAGACATTCTAATCTTGAATTTAATATGTCCCCTTGATATTATCAACAAATTTAACTGAAAAATTTGTTGATATGGAATAAACCATGATTATATTTAATTATTGCCACAAGTGATCGTTATCACATTCAATACATGTATACTTTATTGATTTATAGATATTTAATACATTTTTTACATGTTGTTGCCAACATTCGTATTGATTCTCTTCTTCCTAAGTTAGAATTAAAGAATACACCATCCACAACATCTAATTTGGCCATTAGTGATAGATTGGTTCATTTTGAAGAAGTCCCATAAGACGGTTTTCGAGCACCAAATATCAAATTTTAAGGTATCCAAATCTTTAGTGATCTATCTCTTTTATGACGAGAAAAAGGTTTCTGCCCATGAACTTTTGATTTCCGACATATTTGATTTCTAATTGAAATTATGTACTTTCTTTTTATAATCTAACTCTGTGACTCATACCATAAATTAATCATTGGAAAGTGTCAATATGTTTGGCACAACACATGGCGGAAGATACCAAACCATTCAGGGAATATGATACGTTTAAGATCCTCGAACTTTTTTTCCAAAATTTTTCTATCGTTGCCCTCTTCTTCTCATATTCGATTCAATTTTTTGTGAAAAGATTTTGTAAACAAAAATTCTTGTGTTTGAAGAAAAATTCATAAACATGCAAAATTTAGTTTAAATTTTTTGTTTCGGTTTTGACATTTATAAAATCATGAAGCTTATCGACGTTTGTACATCGATTTATAACTTGTTTTTGACATTCATCAGTTACGTAATACATTATATGTATCTTGATAAGCTTCCAAGATGGGCGATATCTCTGAAATTTTTCGACGGCCATCGCTATTGGTATTTTTTCAAGTTTGATCCAAAATTTAAGCTAATACAATATCTCAGAACTCAATGTCCAACATGGGAAGGACCCAGAACGCACTAGGACGTACATTTGAAATTAAAGACATTGACTCGTTTTCGCTTGACGATTTTCTATATTTTAACAAATTTGTTAAACTAAATGATGAAGACCTTACATTTATTGGACATTGCATTATCAGGCGATTCATTCATGATGTAGACAGGCGCAATGGTCTTATTCCTCGTTCATTTACCATTATATATGGATATCTGTTTGGAGGTATCATATATAGATACGTAAAACATCATAATGCAGGTGATGAAGTGATTAATTATATCATAACATTTGCAAAACATTTCCGTATGAAAGATTACAATGTTTTTGCTCACAAATTTGGCGAACCAGGTATCTACTTCCGCTACAGTGATGGTACTCATAACAAAATACCATGTCAGCCAGATTTTCAACCATTGAAAATTATTAATGAAGATCTTGAGTTTAAATAAATTTGTTTTTTTGTGTAACATTTTCACATCAAAGCTTTCCTAATTTTTCTTCTGATACTTGAAGTTTGACTCTAAACTTGCTTCTGAATGTTTCCATTATTTTTTTTAGAATAAGTACACAACATGCACATACAACTGGAAAACTACTACTTGACTTCAAAAAGTTAAATGGATGAATCATGATCGCAAATTTCATATTTAATTAATTTCATATTTAATTAAAGATTCTTTTCATAAGTTGTATTTATATATTCATTTCTCTAAACGAGAGGATACATCCAAGCATACGTTCTACCCCTCTTATTAAACAAACGATAGACTTTTTTATGATTAATCTCGATTTAATTCGAATTTCCAATAAATTAGAAGGACATGATACTATTGCGCATGCAAAACGTTATTACAAGCTGATCTTTTGTAATCAATATCTTTAACTTGTAATTGAGTTATTCATAAGGATAGAATAAAGATTTGATACAATTGGCAGCTCATATTGAAGACTATCTTGAATATGGGAAGCTCTTTCATGTTTTCGAGCCAGAAAACATCAAGATTATCTTAAAACTTACAAATTTGACCTCAAATAACTTCATTCGAATTCTTGAACAATCATCAACTACATTTGAAGCAAGCAAATTATACAAATATACTCATGATGCAAGCGTTCCTATCAACAATTTTCAAAGATGCAATTTCGATACTTAAATCTGGTAGAAAATGTTGGATTTAAGAATATTTGATGAACATATATACTTGTCAGTCTTGAAAATCGAATCCAAAATCTTCTTGAAAACAGTAGAGAAGAACATATAACAATTCAAAAACTTTCTAAGATTGAAGTGTTCAAAAAATCAAACGAAATGAAAAGCATGTTCAAATATTCTTTAATGAGCTTTCAGAAAATAGTAATCAAAAGATGATTTCAAAAGCATGCGAAGAAGGACTCTCTGAGAAAATTATTAATGATGATAATATACTACATATTGCATCATTCAAAGGAAATACCAGACTTGTTAAAAATCTTATTGAATGCGGCTGCAAGTTAGAAATAAGAAAAGAAAAAGGATATACACCACTCATTTGTGCTTCAAGAAATGGCCATCTTGAACTAGTGAAATATCTTATTTCTGTTGGTACTGATAAAGAAGCGAAAAATAAAATAGGAGGTAAAGCACTGATTTATGCATCATTTACAGGTCAACTTGAAGTTGTTAAGTTCTTATATACGAAAAAAGGAGATTTGACAGAATGTCAAATCTCCTCAAAAAGTGACAGTTTACATGGCAAACAATTGCGAGCAATTTTTAGCCATTTTGGCTGAGAACTAGGGTCTGCGAGGTACATAGATAGAATCAGTACCTCGCAGACTCTAGTTCTCTATATGGCGCCGAGAAATTTTGGTGAAATGCGACGACATTTCACCAAAATTTTCTCGACGCCATAGGATGAATTGGAGGGTGTGAGATACTATTACATATAATAGTACTCACACCCTCCAAAACCTCGAAAATCTCAAAATTTCCTGCAATTATCATCAACTTTGCATAGCACAATCGGCCAAAAATTCATTCAATTGTCCTTCTTCTCAATATTTCTTAACTCTTTCGATTTCTTTCAAAATATCTTTCAATAATCTTTCAATGATAAATATTATAAAACGATTAGTATGAAACTTTTTTGCATTTTAAAAATATTTTATATTTCTGTTTTTATTTCAATTTTTATATTTTTATTTTCCTTTTTTTAGATGAAACTTATTTGTTTACCAATATTCCTTATTTTATAAAATTTTTCAATTGAATACTACAATAATTTTATCTCTCCTTTATTAAATTTTCGATTTTTATGTTAATTCTAATTCTTTGCACTATTTCTTGTCTAAATCTTCTAAAATTTTTATTTTAATTTAATTTGACACATAATCATCCTTTTAATTTTCGATTCAAATCCTTATCCTCTTCATTATTTTTCAATAATTTTTTTATCGTAATTTGTAAAATTCGTTCTTTTATAGCTGTTTAAATAATCCAAAACCATGATATTTATTATTGTTAATTATTCCTAATCATGTTTTTTCCATTAATTTTAATTTTTTATTTTCTGAACCATTTAAATTAATTTTGTTAAGAATATTTTTTCAATATAGACTTCTGAAATAATTAAATTATTCTCAAATTCTCACAAATTATTTCATTTCAAATTTGTTTAAAATGAATTTGTACACCTTAGTTGATTCAGCTTGGCTTGAAACAGCTCTAGCACAGATTCAAAGGCGCACACCGTTAGCCATTGTTCTCACAAATGTTCCACTAGTCAACAACACTATTCGTTCATCAATTAACAAGATAACATTTTACAAAGCTCTCTTATGTAATAGACTAATTACTATTGAAGAGTACTTACATCATACATACAAACTTCAAGAGTTTACTACTTTCTACATTAAATATAATAATCGACTCTACGAGTGTTCATCCGAGTATATAAGAATTTCCAAAAAAGTGACACCCAAAAAGTGACACTTTCAATAGGGAGTAACACTTAAAAAGTGACAATTTAAAATTCACAATAAATAAAAATAATAATTTTTTTAGTCTATTAAATTATTCTTTTCTTTGAAATCCTCTAAAAATTCTTCGAAATGTTCTAAAATATAATCTGGAGAATTATAACAAAATTCATTAATTTCTAACATATACGTATCTAACAATTCATTTGGAATTTCAAACGATCTTAAATATGTAATTGAATTTTGTATCTTCTCATTTATTTGAGAAAGTTTTTCTTCAGCATTTTCCAATAAAAATCTTAATGGATTCAAATTGGCTTCTTGATTCTGAACAAAATTTAATACTTGGTATAAACGTGATTGAACTTCTCTTTTCAATTTTGTTTTATAATCTGTCAATCGAGGCTCGCGAATTCTAATTGAAGGAATAAAACCTGTTTGAAGTAAATCGTTTTTAATACGATAAAAGTAATTGGGTGCAACTTCTTCTAAAAGATTTTTGACAAAAACATCAATTCTTTGATTTTTAACGCAGCCAAAATCGTGATATTTTATCTTTTTAAATAAAGATTCAGAAACGTTATTCACAACGGTTAATTCATTTGGTCTGGCAGCGGCTATCCACATCATAGCCAACAATTCCTTATACAAAATTCAAAAACTTGGGTGCAATCAGAACTGATTGCACCCAAGTTTTTGAACTTTCTTGAGGGAATTAAAGGGTGAGAGATTTATAGTCTATCTATATATCTCCACCCTCTAATTCCCTCCCTGACAGCGGGAAATTTTGTCTGAATGTTAAACTATTCAGACAAAGTTTCCCACTGTTTGCGAAGGAATTGTTGGCTATGATGTACTGATTCATGATCAGTACATCATAGCCAACAATTCCTTATATAAAGTTCAAAACTTGGGTGCAATCAGTTCTGATTGCACCCAAGTTTTTGAACTTTCTTGAGGGAATGGAAGAGTAAGATGTATACATTATGAATATATACCTCTTACCCTTCCATTCCCTCTCTGACAGCGGAAAACTTTGTCTGAATGTTAAACTATTCAGACAAAGTTTCCCGCTGTCAGCGAAAGAATTGTTCCATCTGGTGCATAGAGTGTGAATCTATGCACCAAATGGAGCAAGTCCCTCGCGAAATTGCCAAAACTTGCGTCGCATTTCAAAGATTGCGACCCAAATTTTGGCGATTTCTAGTAGAGATGGAGTATTTTGAGTCACTGACCTATATGCAGTGGCTCAAAGGGCTCCATCTCTACTTTGAAGCAAGGAAACTTTCCTCGAAATTTTGATAATTTGAAGAAAGTTTTCAAGCAATTAACAAAGGATTACTCGCTATGAGGTAAAAATTCTAGATTTTCACCTCATAGCGAGAGCTTCCCTTTCATTGCTTGAAAACTTTCCCCAGCTTCAAAATTGGGGAAAGGGCTGTAAAGTCGACTCCGATACCAGCAGGTACCAGAGTATTTAAAAGAGAAGCCCTCGTACGAGTTTCTATGAAGACCTTCTCATTCAAGAAGATCTTAATAGAAAATCGTACGAGGGCATTGGAAACTCGCGTCTGGTACATGTTGGTACCAGAGTGTTTGAGATTTGAAGACTCTGGTACTAACATGTACCAGAATTTATGATGAATTTAAAATGGTAGCGGTTTGTTTCAAAAAATTTTAGATGAGATTTGCATAGATATAGATTATATGATTTATACATATGAAAAATAATATATAAAAATATAATTTTGAGATAATTATGTAAATAATATTTTAAATATTTGAATTTGAGGTATAATTTTATAGTAAAATATATTATAAAGAGTATTTATATAAATATTGTAAAATAATATAAGTAATAAAAATTGAGACCCCCTCCCTGTTTTTGATGTTTTGTCACTTTTTCAGTAATTCTTATTGTTTCGTGTTCATCCATTTTGAAACACAGAGATGACACTCTCCTTACCGATTATTTGATATTACAAAGTTCAAACGACTCTCGTATACAGGAAGAACCCTCATCAGCCAGCACTCCTCTACAACAGATAGAATACATATCATGTGTACTGAGGCACTGCGAGCCTCCTTACCCATTATATGTGAATTTGACACTTTACAAAACCGTTAACGTATATTTTACAACACAAACACAAACACCAACTTAACCTTAAATATTTATAAAGCCGCCAACCACTTCACCTCACTAACGTTTCACAAACGACTTCACTACTGTAAAAAATAAACGTTCTCACTTACAAAAGTATTGCAACTCTTCCCATTGCTGTGCTTCACACAATAGTTCATATTCTTCAGTATCGCTGCTGTCGCTCCAATCGTCAGAGTCAAAGTCACTGTCAAAATAAATGTTAGTAAGTTTTGACAAAGCTAATGAAACACGCTTACCGTTTGTATCTATTGCTTGTATAAACTTTCCATTCTTCATTCCTTCGTAAACGCTCAAACTAACTTTACCCTTTCTCCCTCGTATCTGATAGAATGTATTTTCACGAGGAACGAAGAACAAGTTCTTGAACTCATGATCGTTGTAGTTTGTTATCTCAATAGTTTTCGTCATTTATATAAAAATAAAATAAAAATAAAATAAAAAATAAACTTAAAAATAAATGATATCACCGAGAAAGGGACAGACTAGCCCATTGTCACTTTTTAATTTAGCAAATGAACGCTTATGGAGTGGAGTTTTTGGGTAAATCTGATTTGCTTATAAATGAAATAAAATCAAAAGAAACCATATTGGCATTATATTATGCAAAAATAAATGATCTTACTTAGTACTTTTAAAGTTAATTTCAGAAAAAATTTGACACAATGGTATCCGGCACATATAAGTGGTGTACAACCAAAATATAAGTTGGTTTAAACATATATTGCTATATCTCATGATCTTACTTAGTACTTTTAAAGTTAATTTCAGAAAAAATTTGACACAATGGTATCCGGCACATATAAGTGGTGTACAAGCAAAATATAAGTTGGTTTAAACATATATTGCTATATCTCATGATCTTACTTAGTACTTTTAAAGTTAATTTCAGAAAAAATTTGACACAATGGTATCCGGCACATACAAGTGGTGTACAACCAAAATATAAGTTGGTTTAAACATATATTGCTATATCTCATGATCTTACTTAGTACTTTTAAAGTTAATTTCAGAAAAAATTTGACACAATGGTATCCGGCACATACAAGTGGTGTACAACCAAAATATAAGTTGGTTTAAACATATATTGCTATATCTCATGATCTTACTTAGTACTTTTAAAGTTAATTTCAGAAAAAATTTGACACAATGGTATCGGCACATACAAGTGGTGTACAACCAAAATATAAGTTGGTTTAAACATATATTGCTATATCTCATGATCTTACTTAGTACTTTTAAAGTTAATTTCAGAAAAAATTTGACACAATGGTATCCGGCACATATAAGTGGTGTACAACCAAAATAAAGTTGGTTTAAACATATATTGCTATATCTCATGACTTACTTTTAAAGTTAATTTCAGAAAAAATTTGACACAATGGTATCCGGCACATATAAGTGGTGTACAACCAAATCTTCGACTCGATGAACTTGTCATCGAGTTATATTCCAGTGTTGTTCCTTCATTCCTGATTAAGTTGCAAATTAAAGGTCTGGATTCAGAGAGAAGTGTTAAAGTTATCAAAAAAGTCACAAGAGATTTCGAAGAAATGACACAATTTAAAAAAGTCGAATGCATCAGTATGCTTGAAGCTGTTCAGAAAGGTCTGAAAAATGATACACTTGATCCCAACATTGTTTACTCAACATTAAAAATATTATTGCAAAGAAAACATTTGATTTAATAAACATTTAATTTATTATAATTAATTTTTTATTACAGTATAGTAAAAAATGCTATAAATTATTATATATTATTAAAATGTGACTTTTAATAGTAAGTGAATAAAATAAATCAGGAATTGGGAAAGAAATAAGGTTAATTAAAAATAACGAAAATTATAAGTTTAAGGTTAATGAAAAAGTGACAATGGGCGAGTTTGTCCCCCACTCTGATATCACCACCCTCACACGTATGAAAACATAGCACAAAAATAAATTTAGGGTAGAAGGTTAGATCTAACCCGATAACTACCCTCTTTTTTACCCTGTTGAATTCATTGCTTTATAACTCTCTTCCTTGGTTTCTTTTTAGTTGCTTTCTTAACATCTGTCTCCAACTTGACTGTCTTTCTTCTTCGTCCGTAATGATACCAATTACTTCCACCAGTCAATGGGTCAAATGGTCTTTCGTAAGGGTTTCCATACATTCCATAGGGACCATACGGAAGAACTACTAGTGGAGAAGAAACATTTTCTTTAGTTCCATCGACTCTATTTAAATGCATTGTTTCACCTTTCATCTGGTCATTAAAGTCTTTTGCGTGTTTTGCAAACTCATCGTCCTTTCCTAAAGCATTTTCTGACTCAGTCGCAACCAAATTGGATGCTTTATTTATGAGCCCTATTTTATTTAATCTTAACTTCTTTGCAACCCAGCCTCCAATCTTTCCTTTATTTGCATCTAATGTCTTTGAAACCCTTCCTCCACTCATTTTATTTACTGCGTCATAAGCTCCAAGTGCTTTTGCTCCAAATGCTAATGCTTTTGTTCCCATTGCGCCTAAAGCTGCCCAAGCTACCATTTACACCATATTAAAATCATCTCTCTTCAATATTATCTCATAAAAGTTCTCGTTACTGGAGAAAGTCAATGAAACATAAGCGTTCTCACGGGCTTCGCCCTCACCGCTTTGCAGTCTATCTAACTTCTTTCTTATCTCATCTATACGCTTCAAAATGTCTGAACAATTGCTAACATCTTCTACAACAATTATTTCATCATGAATGACCTTCAAGAACAAGCTCATTTAATATGCTATTAAAATCATCTCAATAATGAGTCCATCCTTTCCATCTTTAGGTAGCACAACATCTTTCATTGAAGAAGGTTCGACAAGTCTTATGTTAAACTTACTGACAAAGTTTGTTATACTATAATGCTTCGGTGGCGAATACATATAGTTTGAAAGACATAATATAGATTCTTCAGCAAATTCACTTATACTGGATTTTATAACAATGTTCTCACGAGACCAAATACCACCAATTGACAATCTTGTAAGCAATCCTGCTGAACCTTCTACTGTAAACGTCGATGGTAACATTCCACGAAGGTCATCTATTGACATCTTTGAGTCACTGAATTTAAATATTTTCTTAAAGCAATCGTCATTATCTAACCATGCAATAGCTTTGAAGTTTTCATTCGAATATACTTCTGCTTCATTAAATGTAAAACCTGACTTCTTTGCAGAGACGACTTTAAAATCTATTGAGTTTGTTTCAAAATTATATGCTATGGTAACTTCTGAAGGTAATGGATGTCCTTCCGCAGTCAGTTGTTCTCTCACTACCGTTTGAAGCTTTGTGTTAAAAACTTTCATGTCATCTCCTGTATCTAAGTTCACATACACAGCAACAGGGAAACTATCTTGCTTCTTTGTTTCATCATTATATCTCAAAACATTAAAGTTCTTCAATAATATTGTTCTTCCTGCTGGAATACTTCGAACCTGTCTGATTTCAATAGCTTTCTCACCTCCTACATACTCTACCCAGTGTCTTGGATATTCATAAGTATACTGACTTTCTTGAATTTTGGTAGGTTTCATCATAACGTGTTCATAGTATATCTTTATACTCTTGTCAGTTAGACTCGGTGCTATGTTCTGAATATTTCTGACTTGCATTTTTAATAAGATTAAAATGAAGCATTTAATACATGATGTAGATGAAGACATGAATGAAACTACAGACAAACTTAACTCTTCTCTTATTCTTCCTTTCAGCAAAGATTATGAATTCTGTTCAAATGGCGTTTATTTCTATTGTGGAAAGATGGGGTCAGGAAAGACATTTAATCACATTCGTCATATTCTTATAACAGAACGTTTAGGAAATGACTCATGTTATGACCAAATCATTATATCAGCAACTTCAGACTCTATGGACTCAACAGCGAAAACATTTATGTCAAAAGTTCAAGCCTCTGTCGTTAAAGTTCCAGACAGTGAACTCATTGAATTTCTTCCACGTTACATTCGACGTAAGAGGAAATATTATGCCATCGTAGAGTTCATACAGTCAGGAATGCAAAAGACTTCTGAGGAGATGGAAAGAATTATTGACAAACACCACTTACGTCAGTACTCAGGAGTTTACGATATGAAACGACTGACAAACTACATTCTATCAAAACTTTCAAAATACCCCTTCAAAAAATATCCTTCAAACACTCTGCTCGTTTGCGACGACTTCGCCGGAAAAGGTTTAGTTTCAAAACCAGACTCACCATTAGCTAACATCATAACTAAAGTCAGACATTACCACTTAACTGCAGCAATACTTATGCAAACATGGAGGTTTTTAGCTTTAAACATAAAACGTCTCATAACTGACTTCGTTATCTTTCAAGGTTTCTCACGTTATGATATTGAACTCATTTGGAAACAGTCTGGTATAACATTACCTTTTGAAGAAATTTGGGAAGCATATAAGTCTCTCATCTCTCCTCGTTCATACCTTGAGATTCATATCATGACTAATACCATTAAAGTCAAAAATATTCCATGGGAACGACCAACATTGTTTTAAAGCTTAACCTTCAATTGACTGATGGTAAACAAATTCCATGCATCTCTGTCGCCATTTCTGTTAATATTTTTGCTGTCATTCATATCATCCACTTCCCCATCCGTTAGCTTTTGAGGATATGCGTTAGAATAGCTGTTCTTAAATGAAGGCTTTTCACCTTTGAGAGCATAAACTCTATAACTTTCTGCATACTTTATGTTTGAACCTCCTGAGCCATCATTGACATAAATTTTTATAGGCTTCCACCCTTTGTTCATGTTCCTGCTTCTTCCCTTAGCTCTTTTGTTCAGTAGTTCTACATCTTTATACACAGCATCTGTCTCAGTGAATTCAACAATATTTTCATTCGTTAGCTTTACATTCAAACCCTTGTCGAGTATATTGTTCATTTCATACATATAAAAGGTTTTTATTCTATATGAAATGAGAAGCAAATCCATCTTAGCTGGTGCCGTTAATGTTCCAATTGAACCAACATCAAATGTTGACTCACGAACGACAAACAATATTGTCATAAAGAACTATAGTTCAGAATGTTTGAAAGAAAAAGAACCAGAACTTAAGTCGGTGAATTTAAACACAGCTTCAAACGCTAACGCTACATCAGATGTTAAGTTAGAGTATCCACCACTGGACCAAATTCTTTCAAGAGAAGCCAACGACAACCCTTACACAAATGTTCAAACAAATCCTTCAGATAACGTAGACCATTACCTTCTTCAGTTATACCAAACAATTTTACTCAAAGACGATAAGAAGCTTTTGACAAATCTTATAAGCAAGAACCAAATAATTCTAACAAAGGAGGATTTAGAAAATGTTATATCACGAATAACAGGGAAACAATGTGTCATTGACTATCTCGACCCTGAAATCGAATGCTGTGGTCAAACGCCAATATTCATGAAATCGGTAATATTAGAATAATCGAAACACCAGGAACTACAGGAGTTGAGTTTAAGTATAAATATTCAAACGAGTATACAAAACTATCTACTGACTATAAGCTTTGTTTGAAATATGTTTTAGTAAATTAAAGCAGTCAGTCAGTCAGTCAATGACTGACTTAGGTTAGTCAAAAAAATTTCAAGTTAGCAATTTGTAATATCTATCCAAAACTTCTTCAACACTATTGAACTCATCTTCATAATGCAAACCTAATCTTATTGACTTGGTGCAGTTTTCACTAACACAATATTTTTCTGTTCTCTTGACTGACATAACTAACTCATTTGTTTCATCAAACAGCAACAACCAAAGTTCATGACCTAATACATAACATTCATACTTTATATTTTTAGCTCTGAGTTCTCTTGTAAGCTGTTGCATTTAATATTTTCTAAAAAGTCAACTTCAACAGTCATTCGCACTGGTGCCTTCAGTTCTACAGGCTCTCCTTGAAAGTCAACAAGTCTGAATTGCATGTCTTTCAAATTATGAGGACTTATGCGAACCCATTTACCTAAATGAGTTGCTATGACAGGAACGTTTGGAATGAACATTGAATTTACTTCATAACAGAAAGACTTATATTCTACTGAACCTTTACTATTAACTCCTGAAATACCTGTGACATTAGCTATTTTTGACTCAATGTACAAACAATTGCCATAACATACGTATGGAACAGATTTCATCTCAATCGTTTTGTCAACACTTTTCAAAGGAAATGTCATATGGTATGCTCCCAGAAGCAATTGAACTCTATAATTCATTCGTGTTATCTTAAACTCCTTCGCATAACTGAACTTCAATGTTCCCTCAGAAGAGAGTTCGACATCTATGTTGTCAATAGTTTCTTCATTTATGAGAGTATCTATGACTCCAGCAATTTTATCTATTCTATACCCAGCTCTGTTAGGAAATGTTATAACACTTCTTACACCATCTATTTCAATCTCTATGAAATCTGTTTCATCTGTTATGACAAAAGTTGCGATAGTATTGAAGTCAACAACTCTGAAAGCAAGTGCTTCATTTTGAAGACCTAAGTTTGTTTGTAGCTTTACTGTCCCGTATTCGTTTGGGTCTGTACTTTGCAAATAGAACAACATTTTATTCTCATTAAAATATGACTATTGCTGCATATGCGTATGAAACAAATGAAGCAAGAAGAGCACATGAACTAGTTAACGAAAACTCAACTTTAACCATTGAAGGCAATGATTTAGTCACTGACGATGGAAAAACTAAAAAAGTCATTGATTTCGATACTTTTAACACGTATGACCCATTCAATACAACAAGTAAAGTTCCTATCATAAATGATGGAACGGTGCAATATATAAATTCAACAGTAGATGCCTCATTAGTGAAAGTATTAAATGTTCTCATTGAATTACTAAAGAGCTTTCGATTTGACGACAACATTAAATGCTTAAAGAATTTAGTCATGAATGAGAAACAAATTCTCGGCGTTGCTGGTAGCAGTAATGATGTACACCTTATGACATTAGAATATTATAACGAACATAAAGATGAACTGAAAGGAGAGAAGGGTGACACTGGAGCTCAAGGACCACAAGGACCACAAGGAATACAAGGACCTCAAGGCGAAAACGGTTTGGATGGAGAAGATGGAAAGGATGGAAAAACTGCTAAATCATGGATATGGAACCTTATAAATACTGGTTTAACAGCTGGTTCATATGGAGTTCTTCAATACCAAATCGGAAAGATATGGGCAGTACTTGGTGAAGAAGCTTTAGATGACGTTAAAAATGCTTTGAACTTCATTTCAAATGGTTCGGATACTATTAAAACTTTATCTGGTTGGATGCAAGAAACAAGGAGTCAAATAGATACTGTAAGACGTATAGCAAACAATGCACGTACGGGATTGGATACTTTACGAGAAGCACAAAATACACTAAAGGAAGCAAATGATATTCTTGGCTCAGTATCAGACATGCATGAAGATTGGCTTAAAGGTATTGACAAATCTTTAAAAAATCACAGTCAGTCTATTGCTGACTACAAGAAAAGTATAGATTTTTACATAGTGCTATGGACGTACATGATGGAAGCATAAGGAACTTACTTAATGCTAACAATAACTTACCAGGAACTATTAAAGCATTTATAAAGTCCTTTGTAAAACCTGGTGCTCTAACATTTAGGTCTTTGAGAGCAAGAGCATTGAAGTCAAGAGATGCAGAAACTCCAACAGAACCTACAGAAGGAACTGAAACAACAGAAACTCCAGAAGAACCACCAAAACCAACAGCTAATGAAATATTGTTCGAATATTTTCCAAGGTACTCTGTTCTCATTGCATACATTCAAGAAATACTTAAGAAAGCAGACTTGACTTTAGGAGATGATGAAAGTTCTGTATATCTTTCGTTCCAGTTTCAAATAGCAGAACTTTTGAGACAGATATGCTTAATGTATGACAACATCTCTGATTTCACAAGATATGATGACGACCATGACCCCGAACACGGTGAAGAAGAAGTTTTACAAACATCCATTAAGACAGGAAAAGTTTTAACACAAAGTCTCATTATTGACACCGAAGATGGTGAAGTGGATGTTCTTCAAGAGCTGAAGAAAAATACTTCTTCGGGAGGTGGTGGTAGGCATGAACTTGAAATAAATGAGATAGAAGAGAAATTAGCCGAAAAAGCAGATAAAAACCATGTTCATTATATAAGTTCAGATGAACAGATTATAACGGACTACCACGGATATTTAACACGAACTGAAGAAAGAGTGAAGACAAAAGATGTTAATGAAAGAAGATATAAATTCATTCGTGCTGAAGGTTATGACATACGCTGTACTGTACAGTATGACACAGGTAAGGCTCCAGAAGCATTTGACAATAACAATGAAATATATGCTTCGTATTTCTTTGTTAACGGTGTATTAGTTGAACCAAGATTTACTTTGAGAGTTAAGGCAAAAATAACTTTTGAAGATGCTATTAAAAGTAAAGCTGACAAAGATGAACTTGACGCAATGAACAAAGTTTTGAAATCTCATAAACACAATATCTCCGATATAAATGAACTTCAAGCTACATTAAATAGTAAAGCTGACAAGAACCATACACATGAATCCTTCACTACTGTTAGAGCAGACGACATAATATTGAACTATACCCTTGGTTCAAGTGCACCTTTAGAGAATCCAAGTACAAGCGTAAAAGATACTCTTAATAGTTTAAATAGTAAATGTATGAACATTGAAGGTCATATCAGAAACTTTGAAACATATGAACTACCAGCAATGTTAGATAAGAAAGCAGATAAAGAACATACACATAACTCCTTCTCAACTGTTGCTATAGAAAGTATTGAAGGAACTGTTGGCGGAACTGGTGGAGATTCTTTATATTATAAACCTCCTAACTTTCCACAAGGTTTAACATCGAATGAAAACATAACAACGAAGAAAGACATTAGCTGTAAAAATGTTTATGTCATGGATGATGAAAACAATGTTAAATTTTCTGTTCAAAATTTATATGATAAGAAAGCAGACAAAACAGAGCTTCAAACATTAAAGACTGAAATACTTCAAACATTATATCCTATAGGCTCTATTTATACATCAATGAACTCACCAAATCCAGCAAGTGTTTTAGGTTTTGGTACGTGGCAGCAGATTGTAGACAAATTCTTATACTGTGCTAACTCTTCAAAGCAAGCAGGAGGTTCGAAGAAAATTAAAGAAGCAAACTTACCTGCGCACACTCATACAGGAACTACAAACTTTTCTGGCGACCATAGCCACTCATTAAGAGACCACCCATTATACAACTCAGACTATAAAGCTGGCAATGGTGTTTTATCTCCATCTTATAACAATTCAGCAAAAAAGACTTTTCGACCAACTGAACCAGGAGGAAATCATGTCCATACTTTCACAACAAATCCAACAGGCTCGGGTGAAGATTATATGCCACCATTTATGACTGTATTCGCATGGTACCGCGTTCAATGAACGCGCTTGAGCCTGCTTTGCAAGCTTACCGTCTTGAATAAAATCTTTATTTTTACATAAATGAGCTTGAAAGAAGTATTTGAACAACATCCATGGAGGTCATTTAAGAAGTTCAATGAAGCTGCAAAGAGTTGGGGATTTACTAACAGAGCTGAAGTGAAAAGGTTCTTTGACAAAAATGTTGTACATCAAACAAAAATAAACCCTTACGACTACTTTTTACCAATTTACTCCAACACTCCTGACGCATACCAATTTGACACTCTCATTCAAAGCAGAAAAGGAGGACATAAACCATTCCTCATCTTCATAAATGTTAACACTCGTAAAGCATATGCATATCCAATGAAAAATAAAGGAACTCGTGAAGTGTTAAGAGTTTTACAAAAGTTTGTAGCAGAACATAGCCCAAGTACTTTAACATCAGACCAAGACAGTGCATACCTCAGCAATGAAATCACAGATTTTCTCATTAAGCATAACATAACTCACTACACTACTGAAGACCATAACCATAACATACTCGGCATCATAAACCGCTTCATAAGAACGCTCAGAGATTTAAACCAAGAGCGAGACTTTACTGAAGAAACAATGAAACATTTTCTCGAAGTATATAATTCCTCAACGCATTCTACAACAGGACATACACCAAATTCAATGACACAACAACAAGAAGAAAAGTATATACAAAAGAAACGAAGTCAAACACAAAATATCAGAAATTCAACACAATTTACCCTCATTCCTGGAACAAAAGTTCGTGTAGTTCTTGACGACAAACCGTTGACAAAGAAACATTTAAGGTTAAGTCGAAATTATTATATCGTAGACTCTACGCAAGGTAATGGATATCTTATAAAAGCTGCTGACGACTCCATTGCATTTTACCCTCGACATAAATTAGTCGAAAGTAGTAATGGCAAACTTGCTGAAACCATTGACGAAGCAAAGCGAGGAGTGGTTATTGAAATACTTGGCTATAACATAAACGATGACACTTATAAAGTAAGATATGAAGGAGGCGTTGAAGATGTTATACCATCTAAGAACTTGAGAGAGTCGAAGCCAACACATCTGGGACCATTAGAGTGGGAGTACTGGAAAGATAAAAATAAGCCAGAAAGAATAAGAAAATTCTTCTAAACTTTTTCATTAGATGTAAATCAGACATGAACGAGAACAGTCATGATATCATTAATGGTACCATTTATTTTAACATTAAGACGCAAAGCGGCGGGGCATAGCCCATGAACAAAAATAATGTTTAGGGTAGATGGTTAGATCTAACCTCATTTCTACCCTCATTTCTACCCTCACGAATTTTCATGAATTTCCTTAAGATAGAAAAAATAAAGTTAGTTTTATTTTTATTTATTTTTTTATTTGGTATGTAAGAACAGAAATGTCAGTCGAAGCAAAAACATTCACGAACAAATCTAATGGCGAAACATTCACAAAAGGCACTTATAACGGTATTGAAGTCTTACGTAGAGACAAGGATGGTTACATTAATGCAACAAAGATGGCAAGAGAAGCGGGAAGGTTAAACCATTTAAACAGATTTCTCAATAGTGCTAAAATGCAGGAAATTCTTGAGTTTTGGATGAAAGAATACGGTCGAGCCAAAAGTGGCTCAACCTCAAAACAAGCATTTTATGAGCTTACTAAGGGTGTTATAAATGAATTCAAAGGTATTTACATACATCCTGACCTCGTTCATTTTGTTGCTGAATGGTGCTCTGTAAAGTATGCATTTTATGTCAAGGATATTATGGACTCCATAGACAAGAAAGTTCATGAGAAGTTAGATGAAGAAGAACTCGAAGATACAGTAGAGAATGCAAAACATTTGTTTGAAGAAGAAGTTAGAAAAATGCATGAAAAACAATTAGAACATGAACGTGAGATATGTTATGGTTATAGAGATTCTCCATACGAACTAGACCAATGGGAACAAGAAGATTTAAAGAGAGAATTTAGAGAATATGAACTCGCTAAGATAGCATTAGAAGCTGCAGAAAAGAAGTTAAAAGTTTGGGGTCGTTTTGTACAAAAATATTGTGAGTAAATGAACCATTTATTTTTATTGAATTCACCAAAAATAATGTTTAGGGTAGATGGTTAGATCTAACCTCATTTCTACCCTCATTTCTACCCTCACGAATTTTCATGAATTTCCTTAAGATAGAAAAAATAAAGTTAGTTTTATTTTTATTTATTTTTTTATTTTGTATAAAAGATATGATTTCAACAATCGGCACAACAACAATTCAAACAACAACAGCACCAAACTCGTTAGTCATGAATCCAACATCTATGTTAGTAGAGATGAAAAACTTCATTCCTTCTTCATATAGTTTTGGAACAGAAATACAAAGAATAAAGCAAGAACTTTTAACAAGTAATTTAGACTGTACCGCACAGGATGAAGAAAATGAAGAATATCTTTATGAAATGCAGGACATTATTGACCATTTACCCAAATTGCCTGAAATCCAACAACAAAAACTCACTATTCATGAATTCGATGAAATAGAAGTGAAACCAACTGACTCAGTTAAAGAAGTTCATACGTAAAGTAAACTATGAGTTTCTAGGATATCATTGCAACCATAAAGTTATGGACAAAGATTGCGACATGGTATATAAGAACATCTCTGACATATATAAATCGGGGGAGTTTAAGATACACACGAACAACTTTGTTTCATTAGTTGCAAAATGTGTATGGCAGATAAGAGATAAAGACAGAAGAGGTAAGGTATGGCATGAACAGATAAAACCAACTGCTTCAGATTTAAAGAAAACCATTGACGCCTTAGTTGTTTTACCAGGTAAGGTTTCAGAATATAACGCAAAAATGAATCCGCAATGTTCTAAATGTAAAGTAGCAATGAGGAAATATAACTATTCAGTAAAAGAGATAGAAAGAATGAGAAACGACTATGCAGATTTAAAGAGGGAGGCAGAGAAGCCGGTAGAAGATAAAATGGACATGTTAGCATTTCTGAACAAAAACTATCCAACTGCTGACGATTTCCTTCTATCTGATGTCAAGAAGAAGTATAAAGAAACTTTCGGCATTGTTAAAATTTTTGATATCCTCAGCGAAGAAATAGAAGCTACAAAACTGTTTAGAATCTCACGAATTCATAACGTTTACCATGTAAAACGGTTATAAATAATGAGGGTAGAAATGAGGTTAGATATCGGGTTAGATCTAACCATCTACCCTAAAAATTATTTTTGGTGTAAATTTCATTAACTGACTGACTGACGGCACAAAGTGGCTTAACGAAAACATTAATATATAAAATTCATGAAAATTCATGAAAATTCATGAGGGTAGAAATGAGGGTAGATATCGGGTTAGATCTAACCTTCTACCCTAAAATATATTTTTATTGAATTCAGCACAAAAATAATGAATTTCCTTAAGACAGAAAAAATAAAGTTAGTTTTAGTTTTATTTATTTTTTTTATTTTGTATGTAAAGACAGTAATGTCAACATCAGAGAACACAACAACAGTTATAGTCCATGAAGTCATAAATGAAGAATACGAGTACATACAGTATAACAAACAATTGAGACTCATTCGTTCAGTCAAAGACGATATGTACCAAATGCAAAGTATAATGAACGCTCTTCGTTCTACAAAGCAAGCATATCATTGGTTTGAAAACCAACAGACAAAAGAACTTTTAGAAGAATTTCTCATATGATTGCTTCCCTCGGAAAACCGGGGGAAGAGATTCCGTATGAAAATCGCAAGAATTTGGCTCCTGGTTTGAAAGGTTATTATGTTCATAGACTTTTAGTAAACGCTGTAGCAATGTGGACTTCACCTCGTTATGCTTGTTATATTTTCATGATGTTAGATGAACTATATAAAGCAGAACGTGGAGAGTTGGAAAAGAAACTTCATGCAAAAGATGAAGTCATTGAATCCAAAGACAAAAGCATACAGAAAAGAATACCGCGTTCAGTACCAAAAGGAAAGGAAAAGAGTTATAAGTATATGATATATACTGAAGAGTTGGAGAAAGAAGAAGATAAAGATATGGTTATGTTACATTTAGTCAGAAGAAACAACAAAAGCTTTTACGACTTAGCTAAAATATATAAATCTGACAGAAACTGGTTCTATCGCGAAAACTTACCGATTTCAATGACACCGAATGAGCAAATAAAGGAAATTGTCAAAAATACTCTTCCTCAAACACACTATGACATCAAAGGTTGCACAATACTTACATTCAAAGAAGACTTAACATTACTGAAGGAAAAAATAACAGAATATTTCGATAACTTCAAAGAGGAAGAATAAAAAAAATCTAAGCTAATTTTATTTTTTTTATAAAATTTTATCTCATATGAAAGAACATGAATTTAGAATATTCGGAACTCATGACAGAAGAAGAGAACGAACAACATGTAAAAGATTATGCAAAATTTCTGAAGACATACAAAGCATTTAAACAATATCTAAATGCTTCTAAAGATTATGCAAAATTTCTGAAGGTATATAAAGCTTATGAAAAAGCGTATGAAAAGTTTATACATTGGGGAATTGTTGTAAAATATCGATATGAAGACTAACCAAAAATATATTTTTGCTTAAATAGCTTCAGGGTCTATTTCTTCAACCATTTCACTTCCTTCGTCAATGTCAATAGAAGCTTCTTCAACCTTTGGTAAGAATTTCTGTATAACATCTTTGTTCGTTATTGTCTTCAGAGATGAAGGATAATATTTCACATTTGTTTCACCTTTCTTATATTCTTTCTGTTCGGAAAGATTTAAAGCAATACTGAAGAAGTCAATATTAGAGTTCTTTATAACAGTATAATGAGTATCTTTGACATTCACGAAGAAACTCTTTTGTTTCAAAACTACTGCTAACTCTCGTGAAGTATAACGTTTGCGGTCAATGACGATAGCTAATGGTCTGACATACTGACCAAACTTAGATTCTTTCACAAACTTCTTGTTAAAGATAACATTAACGTTTGCAGCACCATTGAACTCATTCTTGATGGCAGTAGCGAGAGCATTGTATGAAAAGAACTTGCAATCTTGCATGTGTTTCATTAAAATAAAAATATTAAATTATTTTGAAAAATAACTTAAAAAAATCTAATCTAATTTTTTCAAAAAATATTTTTTTTATTTCCTACTAAAGATGTATCGGAAGTTGTCTAAGTTAGAACACTCGGAAATAAAACAACTTCTTACAGAAGCTAATATAGATGTTGCAAAGCATTACGCAACAAACAAAAAAGCACTTGCTGACATCCTCAATGACTATAATGGTGCAATAAGTTATGATAGAATTCATGAGTTCATAAAGCCGCAACGCGGCGAGGACGAAGTCCATGCAAGAGCATTTCCTTTAAATGACGTTGCTATTGACTTATATCATAGACGTTCAGTATCTCATGAAGTAAGAAGAGAAATGTTTGACATAACAAATGCGAACGTTGGTAAAACACGAAAGAGAGACGACACACTGAAACAACAGAGAAGAGAGATGTTTAAAAGTGCTATAGAACAAGTTCGCAAAGTCAATGATGTCATTCGTTCCATTGACGACAAACCAAAAGAAGGTGAGAGATGGTTAAAGAAAGATGAAGAGAATAGGAAGAGAAATGTGAAGTCAGGCAATAGACTCATTGACTTTAACATCGAAGCTTTAGATGAACCAAACAGAGACTACTTACACAAACATTTCGGTAAGGTTTTCATGAGACTCTTAGAGAAAATTAAAATAAACTCACAACAGAGATGGATGGTATGTTATAAACTTGGTGGAAAGTATGAATGTTCTACGTTAAACCTCAATAATATTGGAACATTACTACATCAGCTCTTGAAGGAAAACTTTATATCAGAGATAGAAGCAAATGCTGCAGGTATTGTTGAAATGCACTATGACTTCTTCTTGACAAACATAAAGAATCTTACCGAAATAAAGATGTATGATTTAACAGAATATGAAGGCTTAACGATGTCAGATGTAAAGAAAGGCAAACCAAAAAAGAGACCATATAGAGATGAAAGCACACTGACAAATAACCAGAAAGCCATTTTGGAAGCTCTTAAGCAAACAGGAAACCCAGCACTTATAGAAAGCTTTTGGAAAGATAATGGTGAAAAGAAGTTTTATAAGAAGAGAAGCGGTCAGTTCTGGAAGTATCTTTGCACATTACCTATAAATCTTGAGCGCTACCAAATCTTCAATGAATTGAACAAAAGAACTGCAGCACTTATGACAGAAGACAATTGTTTCGTTTATGCTTGCATTCAGGCTGGAGTAAATGAAGAAACTATTGACCACATGAGAGAAGTCATTCGTGTTAGAGACTTTCCTCAAAGTAAAGTACAAGAAATTTCTGACGCAACAGGTATAGCATTTAATGTTACCATTGGTTATTTCAATGACTCAAGACATAATGAAATAAAGAGATATATACCAAAAGAATGTGAAACTGTTAGAACTATTGACTTACTTCTTGTTGAAGACCACTACATGCTAAACGAAAGATTACCAATGACAACATATTTCATTCGCAACTATATAGAAATCTTGAAGGAGTGTGGTGGAATGAACATTGAGAAACAGATGAAGATTTATACAAAGAGAGAGAACAAATATATTGTTCGTTATGATAGAACAACACCGTTATGGGATGTTATGAAAACATTGTGGGAGTGCAAATATTTCGAACCTATTTCTTATGGAGAACTTTTCATATATACGACTGACTTATATAAAAAGAACCTTGCACCATTTAAAGATTTGACATATGCTCCAAAGTATTGTGTACAACTGAAGAAGAAAGCCGAGTCAAAAGAAGTAAATAAAAATAAGTGCAAGTTCATTCCTGAGCACGTTTTCTTTGCTGACTTTGAGTGCAGTACAGACGGCTTTCATAAAGCTTTTAACATCTGTTATGACAGTGAAGATGGTTCAGTGAGTGAAAGCATTTGGGGTCAGAACTGTGCAACAGAATTTTTGGAACGACTTCCTGACAAGAGTTTAATATATTTCCATAACCTCAGTTATGACATAAACTTCATCTTAAGACACATGACAGAAGTGAAAGGAACTCCCATCATTAAAGGTTCACGAACAATGCAAATAACTGGTTTATATAAAGGACGGGCAATTATTATAAAAGACTCTTACAGTGTTATAAATAAGAAGCTTAAACTATTTCCTGCTATGTTTAACTTACAAACAGGACCGAAAGAAGTATTTCCATACAAATACTACAGCAGTGTTTTGTTAGCAAATGACAACAGAACTGGTGTCATTTCTGAAGCATGTAAGTTTATCCGGGATGCGGATACGTTCATGAAAAACATAGATTCCATCAAAGGTTGCAGAATAGATGAAAACCACTTCGACTTAGAAAAGTATAGCACATTTTATTGCAAACAAGATGTAAGAATTTTAAGAGAAGGTTTTGTTAAGTTCCGCAATGATATCTTAAAAGAATTTGATTTAAAAGTTTATGACTACGTTAGTATTTGTTCAATTGCTAACAAATTATTTGAGAATAGAGTGTACTTCCCGAATGGAAATTTATATGACCTCTCAAATAAACCAAGAGAATTTATTTCACGCTGTATTCAAGGTGGAAGATGTATGCTGTCAGATAACATTAAACAAAAGAGCGAAAAGAAACTCATTGCTGACTTCGACGCTGTTTCATTATATCCATCAGCTATAGCAAGACTTTATACTTTAGAAGGTATTCCAAAGGTTATGAAGAAAGAAATGTTAAGCACAGAGTATCTCATGAGACATTTATTCGATGACGACCAAAAGGAACCCATTGGTGAAAAGTTTATGTCTGGCTTCTTTGTTCTCATTAAGATAAAAGAGATTGGCATACATAGACACTTTCCTTTAATAGTTTGTGACCCTGAACTAAATCCAGAATTTAACGTTCCCAGAAGTTCAAACACTTGCTGTTTAATGTATGTTGACCATATAACATTACAAGACCTCATAAAATATCAAGGTGTCAAATGTGAAGTGTTGCAAGGATACTATTACGATGGAAACAGAGATATTAGAATAAGAGATGAAGTAAAGAAGTTGTTTGAGTTAAGGTTAAAGTATAAGAAAGAAGGAAATCCTTTGCAAGAAAATATAAAGCTCATTCTGAACAGTATTTATGGCAAAACTATTCTATCTCCTATTGAGTCAAAAATAACCATAGTAAATGACAAAGATGCTATAAGATATGCCATCAGAAACTACAACCATATAGTGAAGTTCGAAGGTTTGGATGGTTCAGATAAAACTATTTTCAAGCTAACGAAAAGCATTTGCAGACACTTTAACTTCTGTCCACTTGGTGTTAATATTCTATCTATGTCAAAACGTATTATGAATGAAGTATTCTGTACTGCAGAAGATATGGGCCTTCAAATATTTTACCAGGACTGTGATAGCATGCATATTTTCAATGAAGACATACCAAAGCTTGCAGCCGAGTTTGAGAAACGTTATGGAAGAGTTCTCATTGGTAAAAATCTTGGTCAATTTCATAGCGACTTTGCAGAAATCACAAAAGATAAACAAAGTTTAGCATACAAGTCAATATTTTGTGGAAAGAAGACCTACATAGACTTACTCACTAACGATTTAAATGAAGTTGCATTCCATGCACGTTGCAAAGGTGTCAAACAAGACGTCCTTGCTTTAACAGCAAATGAAATGTTTCCTGAAGCTATACAATGCTATTACAATGAAGATAAGAACATTCACATACCTGTTGGAACATATGACAAAGACTCTGAGTTCAGTTTAATGAAACTTTACAAAGCATTTCATGACGGTCAAGAGATTGGATTTGACTTATGTAAGTCTGCTACACCTGCATTTGAAGAGAAGTTTAACTTTTCTATTCGGACTAAGACTTCATTCATAAGAAAGCTTAAGTTCTGAGGTCATGAATGAGAAAAATAATGAGGTCATTTATTTTTTGTCAGCAGTGAGACCATTCATGATAAAAATAAGCCGCTAGCGGCAAGGGCGAAGCCCATGTGGTCATTTACAATACTGCGATGGTAGAGTTTAAGAGTTCTGCTTCAATGTAGAGACAGTCCTTATGGTCTGGAGGTAAGAACACTGGGCAGTTATGGTCATGAGTGGAGAACATGTCTATCCAAAACTCACGATTGAAGCCAGTTAATTTATAGTATTTAGGGTTAGGAAGTGGTGAATTTCTTGTATGACCAATGAACTCATTTTCAACTCCCTTACTTAAGTTTGAATATAATATAGCTTGCTTTCTATCCCAAATGCCAGGTGTTACAATCTTTGAAAATTCATTTTTCCTCGGAAGCATTGCATCATAATTGAAAACATTCTTGAAATCATCACTTGGTTCAGAGATTTGAAATCTTATACGTAATGGATTTTCTTTCTCTTTAGCGACTTCATTGAATGGTGAGAATACAACAAACTGACAGTCGTGTGTTCCATCTTCATTTTCATTAAATTCATAATGAAAGTCTATAAGTTGTGGCTGACTACCTTCTTCTTTCAGTTGTGCAAGAAACTCACGTAAAGGCTGTAAAGTTTGTACTTCAATGTTGAACTTTTTCTCGAACATTTCATTAAATGAAATCATACATTGTTGCAATGTTGTATCGTCTTTAAAGTATTTGTATATGTGAATGTTTTGGGCGCTTAAAGACTGTTCGTCATTTTCTATCTCGACTTGAAGTATAAAGTCAACCTTTCTGAAAGCACGTGTTAGATACATAGATGTTATGCCAATGTACTTCTCTTCATTTATGTTCACAATCCAGTCTGTTGGAAACTTAAACGTTACTCTGTTCCCCTTTATTTTGACGTCAGGGTTTTCACTACTGAACGCAACAGATAGAGGTATTTGTCTATACATTTAATTCGGATAAAAATAAACCATTTACTCTTTCTTTGCTTCAGCTTCTTTAGCTTTTGCTTCAGCTTCTTCTCTAGCTTTTTTCGCCAGTAGTCTTGGGTTCTTTTGTCTTCCAGCAGCTAATGCAGCAAGTTGTTTTTCACTAAGTTTTCTCTTTGGTCTCTCTGGCTTTTGTTCTTGTTTTTGTTCCTTCAGTTCGGATAAAATTTGCTCACAAATTTCTTTCTTCAATGCTTCAACATCTATGACCCCTTGGGTCTTGTCCGTAGGGCTTGTCTGAGTCATTTGACTGCAGATAAAAAACAAAATTAAAACTTTAACCGATGTAAAATGAGCTTGTCAAAATCAGAGCGAGAATCTATTATATTAAATGACGCCAGAGGAATACAACATCCTTTCTATTACGTAAGTCAGAGTAAAGATGGTAAAATATACGTAAGAAAAAGAAAGGTTCCATTAGCGAATGCAGAAAGCGACAACATTAAGGTGCATGGCACCGAGGGCGAAGCCCATGTTAAGCCTTCTATTCAAACTGAAAAGTCAATAGAACCAGAAGAAAAGAAGCCAGATGTACTTTCAATAACGAACCAAGAGCTTATTGCAAAGTTCGTGAATTTCATTGAAAAACAAACCGAGTCAAAGAATCCTGACCCGCCAGTGAAAGAAGTTGAGACAAAAGAGAATGTACAGTTCATTAAAAATGTCAAGAAACAACTTCCACTACGAATGCCAAGAAGAAGAGTGAGAATAATGAAGTAAATAGATATTTTTATCTGAAGTAAATACATGCAGAACGAACAGTTAAACGAATTTACTCCAGCAGAGCATATTCATCAGATTCGCTCATATTTCGATATCATAGACAATGCAGTTCAAATTGGTGACACTAATAGAAAATATTCTGACGCAAAGATTCCATCACAACCTGGAACTGCTAAAGATAACACATGGGTAACATTCAATCTCTCACCTCCTGGTGAAAATATGTTGGACCTTTACAATACATTCATTACGTATAAAATGGAAGGTCAATTTATTGTAGATAAAGAAATTGGTTCAGGTTCCAATAAAACAAACCCACCAGGATTTTGGATTGGTTTCGATGACGCTTTCTATGCAGTTGCTGGATATCAAATCCTTGCAAATGGTCGTATCGTATATTCTCAAGACAACGCAAGAGAAGAAGCATATATAACTTCAAACTCACAAACTACCGAACAAATAAAGAAAGTAGATGTTTTCTCAAAGACTCGACATGAAGATGTATGGAGTCATTCGGGAACATGCAGAACAGGACAAATTGTTAGTGGTCCAATTACAGCAGGAAAATCATTTGATTTTAAGCTTCGTTTAAGAATTCCTGTTAGAAGATTCCTTCCATTAGAAGCTATTCGATTTATTCCAGCTTTTGCAGGAAACATTCAGCTTAAAGTAAAGTTCAGTAGCGACGCCTTACAATGCACATCTATATCTGTAAATGATATCATTGCTTTCAATCCAACTCTTAAAGTTGCATTTGCTTCAGATTCAAATCCACCGACAAATAAATTTGTTCCATGGAATGAACCATTCACTATGATAACGAAGGCAGTAGAAGCTAGTGGAACAGTTACTATTACAACTGTAACCCAGCAACTATTTCGAACAAAGATGGATTTTAATGAATGTTTCATTCATCCAAAGTCATTCTCTTTAGACCCTAACATTTATACAGAACTTGTAGAACATTATACAAACGAGGCTTTATGTTTTCCTGTTAAAGTTATGGATTGGATTCCTATGGACGGTTCATTCTCAAAGAATACAGATAGTTCAAGTGCAACATTTACAGCAGCTTATACGCCTATTAATGTTAAAAGTATTTGGGCACTATTTAGAAAGAAAGACAACTATTATGTTAATTTTGAGAACCCTAAGTTTAAATATCTTCAGCTTTCCATGGGAGCTTATGGAAATATGCCTGCAGAACCTGAAAAATCATATGGACCTGTATTTTATGAAATGGTTGCGAACGCTTGCAATACAAACAATGATATGATAGGATTTAATGAAGATGTTATGAGGTCATTGGTGGATGATGGTAGTGTGGAACATAAATGGGATAGCTATGACAACACACATTTCTTATGTGGTTTTCCAACAGAAGTGGACTTTTGCTTCCAGCAAGGTCAAACATCTACTGCTCCAATAACATACAAATTGTCTGTTAAAGGACCTATTGAACTAGCAACTGAAAATGTACCAAAGCCACTTATTGGATTTATGAGGGATTGTTGCTTTGCCATTCAGGTGCGTGCTAATGGCATCCCCATAATAAGATTAGATGACTATAACTTAGCACGACGACAGTGAGGAATAAAGGATGAACGTTTATTTTTAAAGCTTATAAATGAGTTCTTCATCAAGCTCTCGCGAACCTTCACCATCTATGAAACAAACTTTACCAAACGATTATGGAGCACCTATTGAATATTTCTTACGAGCTGCACAATGGCAAAGAGCAGTCTCACCAAGGTTAGGTGTTCCACCAGCTCCTGTCAAAAATAGCATTTGGTCAAGTCCTTATATAAGATATGGTCTCCCACTAGGTTTGCTAGCTACAGCAGGAGCAGTTATGATGTTGAAAAGAAATAAAGCAAATGTTGTAAATAATACTGAAGTAGCTGAAGTTAAACAAACTCCAACACCTTCGCCAAAACCAACGCCTTCACAAGCAAAACCTTCAATGACTCCTGAACCTATGGAAGTACAAACTCCTGTTCAAAAGTCAACTCCTAAACCGACTCCAACATTTAAACCAGAACCTACTCCTCAAATAAATCGTAAAACTCCTGCGTTTCCTTACTGAAAAAATAACGTTATTTTTATTTAATATTAAAATTTTTATTTGATTGAAATGACAAATAAAGTCACTGAAGCAATGAAACAAAAGTTTTTGGTAGAATACATTAAATCAGGAACTATTCCAGAAGGTTTTTACATTCATACTATGAAGGATGGTAGAGTTCAGTTTAGAAAGATAAAGCAACCATTAGATAGAGAAGGTATATTAAGGAAAGATTAAACTTCATGAGGACAACATTGCTGAACTTAAGAAGAAGTTAGAAGAGTTGGAGAAAGGAAGAGAGTTATAAAGCAATGAATTCAACAGGGTGAAAAGGGTGAAAAAAGAGGTGAGATCTCACCACTTCACCTAAATTTATTTTTGTGCTATGTTTTCATACGTGTGAGGGTGGTGATATCATTAATTTTTAAGTTTATTTTTTATTTTATTTTTATATAAATGACGAAAACTATTGAGATAACAAACTACAACGGTCATGAGTTCAAGAACTTGTTCTTCGTTCCTCGTGAAAATACATTCTATCAGATACGAGGGAGAAAGGGTAAAGTTAGTTTGAGCGTTTATGACAACAAACATAATGGAGAATATAAAAGCAATAGATACAAACGGTAAACGTGTTTCATTAGCTTTGTCAAAACTTACTAACATTTATTTTGACAGTGACTTTGACTCTGACGATTGGAGCGACAGCAGCGATACTGAAGAATATGAACTATTGTGTGAAGCACAGCAATGGGAAGAGTTGCAATACTTTTGTAAGTGAGAACGTTTATTTTTTACAGTAGTGAAGTCGTTTGTGAAAACGTTAGTGAGGTGAAGTGGTTGGCGGCTTTATAAATATTTAAGGTTAAGTTGGTGTTTGTGTTTGTGTTGTAAAATATACGTTAACGGTTTTGTAAAGTGTCAAATTCACATATAATGGGTAAGGAGGCTCGCAGTGCCTCAGTACACATTATATGTATACTAACTGCTTAAAATCAAATGATTTTCCTGCTGTAATTGGACTACTAACAATTTGTCCTGTTCTGCATGTTCCCGAATGACTCCATACATCTTCATGTCGAGTCTTTGAGAAAACATCTACTTTCTTTATTTGTTCGGTAGTTTGTGAGTTTGAAGTTATATATGCTTCTTCTCTTGCGTTGTCTTGAGAATATACGATACGACCATTTGCAAGGATTTGATATCCAGCAACTGCATAGAAAGCGTCATCGAAACCAATCCAAAATCCTGGTGGGTTTGTTTTATTGGAACCTGAACCAATTTCTTTATCTACAATAAATTGACCTTCCATTTTATACGTAATGAATGTATTGTAAAGGTCCAACATATTTTCACCAGGAGGTGAGAGATTGAATGTTACCCATGTGTTATCTTTAGCAGTTCCAGGTTGTGATGGAATCTTTGCGTCAGAATATTTTCTATTAGTGTCACCAATTTGAACTGCATTGTCTATGATATCGAAATATGAGCGAATCTGATGAATATGCTCTGCTGGAGTAAATTCGTTTAACTGTTCGTTCTGCATGTATTTACTTCAGATAAAAATATCTATTTACTTCATTATTCTCACTCTTCTTCTTGGCATTCGTAGTGGAAGTTGTTTCTTGACATTTTTAATGAACTGTACATTCTCTTTTGTCTCAACTTCTTTCACTGGCGGGTCAGGATTCTTTGACTCGGTTTGTTTTTCAATGAAATTCACGAACTTTGCAATAAGCTCTTGGTTCGTTATTGAAAGTACATCTGGCTTCTTTTCTTCTGGTTCTATTGACTTTTCAGTTTGAATAGAAGGCTTAACATGGGCTTCGCCCTCGGTGCCATGCACCTTAATGTTGTCGCTTTCTGCATTCGCTAATTGGAACCTTTCTTTTTCTTACGTATATTTTACCATCTTTACTCTGACTTACGTAATAGAAAGGATGTTGTATTCCTCTGGCGTCATTTAATATAATAGATTCTCGCTCTGATTTTGACAAGCTCATTTTAACATCGGTTAAAGTTTTAATTTTGTTTTTATCTGCAGTCAAATGACTCGACGAAGCCCTACGGACAAGACCCAAGGGTCATAGATGTTGAACATTGAAGAAAGAAATTTGTGAGCAAATTTTATCCGAACTGAAGGAACAAAAACAAAACAAAAGCCAGAGAGACCAAAGAGAAAACTTAGTGAAAAACAACTTGCTGCATTAGCTGCTGGAAGACAAAAGAACCCAAGACTACTGGCGAAAAAAGCTAGAGAAGAAGCTGAAGCAAAAGCTAAAGAAGCTGAAGCAAAGAAAGAGTAAATGGTTTATTTTTATCCGAATTAAATGTATAGACAAATACCTCTATCTGTTGCGTTCAGTAGTGAAAACCCTGACGTCAAAATAAAGGGGAACAGAGTAACGTTTAAGTTTCCAACAGACTGGATTGTGAACATAAATGAAGAGAAGTACATTGGCATAACATCTATGTATCTAACACGTGCTTTCAGAAAGGTTGACTTTATACTTCAAGTCGAGATAGAAAATGACGAACAGTCTTTAAGCGCCCAAAACATTCACATATACAAATACTTTAAAGACGATACAACATTGCAACAATGTATGATTTCATTTAATGAAATGTTCGAGAAAAAGTTCAACATTGAAGTACAAACTTTACAGCCTTTACGTGAGTTTCTTGCACAACTGAAAGAAGAAGGTAGTCAGCCACAACTTATAGACTTTCATTATGAATTTAATGAAAATGAAGATGGAACACACGACTGTCAGTTTGTTGTATTCTCACCATTCAATGAAGTCGCTAAAGAGAAAGAAAATCCATTACGTATAAGATTTCAAATCTCTGAACCAAGTGATGATTTCAAGAATGTTTTCAATTATGATGCAATGCTTCCGAGGAAAAATGAATTTTCAAAGATTGTAACACCTGGCATTTGGGATAGAAAGCAAGCTATATTATATTCAAACTTAAGTAAGGGAGTTGAAAATGAGTTCATTGGTCATACAAGAAATTCACCACTTCCTAACCCTAAATACTATAAATTAACTGGCTTCAATCGTGAGTTTTGGATAGACATGTTCTCCACTCATGACCATAACTGCCCAGTGTTCTTACCTCCAGACCATAAGGACTGTCTCTACATTGAAGCAGAACTCTTAAACTCTACCATCGCAGTATTGTAAAATCTACGCTAGTTTTATTTTTTTCTGAAAATTTTATTTGAGTGAAAAGCATGGAAGGTGAAGGACATTGGCAAACACTCGAACATGACAATGACTATGAAATCTTTTCAGAGTACCCTTATCCAATTAGACGTATAAGCAATAAAAGAGTTGTTAGTGAGTTTGACCAAGGAGATGGTTATATTTGTGTAAATTTAAACAAACACAAGCTGATGAAACATAGAATAGTTGCAGAAACTTTCATTCCGAACCCTGAAGGACTTCGTGAAGTAGACCATATAAACAGAGACAGAGGAGACTTTCATATCTCGAACTTAAGATGGACGACAAGAAGAGAAAACATGAGAAATATTTCTGGTTCAAATGGCTATTGGTTTGACATTGTTGACTCTCTTCCTGAAGACGCTGTTGAAATTATACAATACTCATATCACACGTTAGAGAACTACTACTATTTCATGGGAACTCAATACAGACGAATGAATGTCTTAAGACAGTATAACAAAGATTATATAAACATTACAGATGTAGAAGGAAGAAGAACAAAGCTGTCTATTGCAAAGTTTAAGAGAGACAATGGTTATACATAAATGACAAAAATATATGACCTTATGGGCTTCGCCCTTGCCGCTAAGCGGCTTAATTTTATCACGAATGACCTCATTGCTGACAAAAATAAATGACCTCAGAACTTCAACTTACGAATAAAGCTTGTTTTAGTCGTTATTGAGAAGTTAAACTTCTTTCAAATGCAGTGTAGCAGAAAACTTACATAAGTCAAATCCAATCTCTTGACCGTCATGAAATGCTTTGTAAAGTTTCATTAAACTGAACTCAGAGTCTTTGTCATATGTTCCAACAGGTATGTGAATGTTCTTATCTTCATTGTAATAGCATTGTATAGCTTCAGGAAACATTTCATTTGCTGTTAAAGCAAGGACGTCTTGTTTGACACCTTTGCAACGTGCATGGAATGCAACTTCATTTAAATCGTTAGTGAGTAAGTCTATGTAGGTCTTCTTTCCACAAAATATTGACTTGTATGCTAAACTTTGTTTTCCTTTTGTGTTATTTCTGCGAAGTCAGAATGAAATTGACCAAGGTTTTTCCAATAGAACTCTTCATAACGTATTCTTCAAACTCTGCTGCAAGCTTTGGTATGTCTTCATTGAAAATATGCATGCTATCACAGTCCTGGTAAAATATTTGAAGCCCATATCTTCAGCAGTACAGAATACTTCATTCATAATACGTTTTGACATAGATAGAATATTAACACCAAGTGGACAGAAGTTAAAGTGTCTGCAAATGCTTTTCGGTAGCTTGAAAATAGTTTTATCTGAACCATCCAAACCTTCGAACTTCACTATATGGTTGTAGTTTCTGATGGCATATCTTATAGCATCTTTGTCATTTACTATGGTTATTTTTGACTCAATAGGAGATAGAATAGTTTTGCCATAAATACTGTTCAGAATGAGCTTTATATTTTCTTGCAAAGGATTTCCTTCTTTCTTATACTTTAACCTTAACTCAAACAACTTCTTTACTTCATCTCTTATTCTAATATCTCTGTTTCCATCGTAATAGTATCCTTGCAACACTTCACATTTGACACCTTGATATTTTATGAGGTCTTGTAATGTTATATGGTCAACATACATTAAACAGCAAGTGTTTGAACTTCTGGGAACGTTAAGTTCTGGATTTAGTTCAGGGTCACAAACTATTAAAGGAAAGTGTCTATGTATGCCAATCTCTGTTATCTTAATGAGAACAAAGAAGCCAGACATAAACTTTTCACCAATGGGTTCCTTTTGGTCGTCATCGAATAAATGTCTCATGAGATACTCTGTGCTTAACATTTCTTTCTTCATAACCTTTGGAATACCTTCTAAAGTATAAAGTCTTGCTATAGCTGATGGATATAATGAAACAGCGTCGAAGTCAGCAATGAGTTTCTTTTCGCTCTTTTGTTTAATGTTATCTGACAGCATACATCTTCCACCTTGAATACAGCGTGAAATAAATTCTCTTGGTTTATTTGAGAGGTCATATAAATTTCCATTCGGGAAGTACACTCTGTTCTCAAATAATTTGTTAGCAATTGAACAAATACTAACGTAGTCATAAACTTTTAAATCAAATTCTTTTAAATATCATTGCGGAACTTAACAAAACCTTCTCTTAAAATTCTTACATCTTGTTTGCAATAAAATGTGCTATACTTTTCTAAGTCGAAGTGGTTTCATCTATTCTGCAACCTTTGATGGAATCTATGTTTTTCATGAACGTATCCGCATCCTGGATAAACTTACATGCTTCAGAAATGACACCAGTTCTGTTGTCATTTGCTAATAAAGACTTGAATAATATTGATATGGAAATACTTCCTTTTCACCACACTGCAAATGAAACATTTCAGGAAATAGTTTAAGCTTCTTATTTATAACAGTGTATGAATCTTTAATAATGATTGCTTTACCTTTATAATTCCCGTTATCTGCATTGTTCGTGAACCTTTAATGATGGGAGTTCCTTTCACTTCTGTCATGTGTCTTAAGATGAAGTTTATATCATAACTGAGGTTATGGAAATATATTAAACTCTTGTCAGGAAGTCGTTCCAAAAATTCTGTTGCACAGTTCTGACCCCAAATGCTTTCACTCACTGAACCATCTTCACGTCATAACAAATGTTAAAGCTTTATGAAACTCATCAGTGCTACATTCAAAGTCAGCAAAGAAAACGTGCTCAGGAATGAACTTACATTTAGCTTTATTTACTTCTTTTGACTCGGCTTTCTTCTTCAGTTGTACACAATACTTTGGAGCATATGTCAAATCTTTAAATGGTGCAAGGTTCTGTTTATATATAAGTCAGTCGTATATGTGAAAAGTTCTCCATAAGAAATAGGTTCGAAATATTTGCACTCCCACAATGTTTTCATAACATCCCATAACGGTGTTGTTCTATCATAACGAACTACATATTTGTTCTCTCTCTTTGTATAAATCTTCATCTGTTTCTCAATGTTCATTCCACCACACTCCTTCAAGATTTCTATATAGTTGCGAATGAAATATGTTGTCATTGGTAATCTTTCATTTAGCATGTAGTGGTCTTCAACAAGAAGTAAGTCAATAGTTCGAACAGTTTCACATTCTTTTGGTATATATCTCTTTATTTCATTATGTCTTGAGTCATTGAAGTAACCAATGGTAACATTAAATGCTATACCTGTTGCGTCAGAAATTTCTTGTACTTTACTTTGAGGAAAGTCTCTAACACGAATGACTTCTCTCATGTGGTCAATAGTTTCTTCATTTACTCCAGCCTGAATGCAAGCATAAACGAAGCAGTTATCTTCTGTCATAAGTGTTGCAGTTCTTTTGTTCAGTTCATTGAAGATTTGGTAGCGTTCAAGATTTATAGGTAATGTGCAAAGATACTTCCAGAACTGACCGCTTCTCTTCTTATAAAAACTTCTTTTCACCATTATCTTTCCAAAAGCTTTCTATAAGTGCTGGGTTTCCTGTTTGCTTAAGAGCTTCCAAAATGGCTTTCTGGTCATTTGTCAGTGTGCTTTCATCTCTATATGGTCTCTTTTTTGGTTTGCCTTTCTTTACATCTGACATCGTTAAGCCTTCATATTCTGTTAAATCATACATCTTTATTTCAGTAAGATTCTTTATGTTTGTCAAGAAGAAGTCATAGTGCATTTCAACAATACCTGCAGCATTTGCTTCTATCTCTGATATAAAGTTCTCCTTCAAGAGCTGATGTAGTAATGTTCCAATATTATTGAGGTTTAACGTAGAACATTCATACTTTCCACCAAGTTTATAACATACCATCCATCTTTGTGGGAGTTTATTTTAATCTTCTCTAAGAGTCTCATGAAAACCTTACCGAAATGTTTGTGTAAGTAGTCTCTGTTTGGTTCATCTAAAGCTTCGATGTTAAAGTCAATGAGTCTATTGCCTGTCTTAACATTCCTCTTCCTATTCTCTTCATCTTTCTTTAACCATCTCTCACCTTCTTTTGGTTTGTCGTCAATGGAACGAATGACATCGTTAGCTTTGCGAACTTGTTCTATAGCGCTCTTAAACATCTCTCTTCTCTGTTGTTTCATTGTGTCGTCTCTTCTTCTTGTTTCACCAACGTTTGCATTTGTTATGTCAAACATTTCTCTTCTTACTTCATGAGGTACTGAACGTTTATGATATAAGTCAATAGCAACGTCATTTAAAGGAAATGCTCTTGCATGGACTTCGTCCTCGCCGCGTTGCGGCTTTATGAACTCATGAATTCTATCATAACTTATTGCACCATTATAGTCATTGAGGATGTCAGCGAGTGCTTTTTTGTTTGTTGCGTAATGCTTTGCAACATCTATGTTAGCTTCTGTAAGAAGTTGTTTTATTTCCGAGTGTTCTAACTTAGACAACTTCCGATACATCTTTAGTAGGAAATAAAAAAATATTTTTTGAAAAAATTAGATTAGATTTTTTTAAGTTATTTTTCAAAATAATTTAATATTTTTATTTTAATGAAACACATGCAAGATTGCAAGTTCTTTTCATACAATGCTCTCGCTACTGCCATCAAGAATGAGTTCAATAATGCTTCAAATGTTAATGTTATCTTTAACAAGAAGTTTGTGAAAGAATCTAAGTTTGGTCAGTATGTCAGACCATTAGCTATCGTCATTGACCGCAAACGTTATACTTCACGAGAGTTAGCAGTAGTTTTGAAACAAAAGAGTTTCTTCGTGAATGTCAAAGATACTCATTATACTGTATAAAGAACTCTAAATTGACTTCTTCAGTATTGCTTTAAATCTTTCCGAACAGAAAGAATATAAGAAGGGTGAAACAAATGTGAAATATTATCCTTCATCTCTGAAGACAATAACGAACAAAGATGTTATACAGAAATTCTTACCAAAGGTTGAAGAAGCTTCTATTGACATTGACGAAGGAAGTGAAATGGTTGAAGAAATAGACCCTGAAGCTTTATAAGAAAATTTATTTTTGAATAACTGAAGGTGTTACCATGTCACTATGTCACCACGTCACCATGTGTCACCAGGTTAATTAACTTCTCTTAAAATTACTGACAACATGACATTTAGACAACACAGCAGGATTAATGCAAAAATGAATGTTATCGTTAATGTTATCGTTTATGTTATCGTTTATGTTATCAGTGTCGAACATAATTGACGAAGAGAGAATCGTCTGATCGTCAAGTTTATTAGTTAACGGGAGGGTTAGATATATTCCATCGCAACTGAAAAATGATGACAACATGACATTTAGACAACACAGCAGGATTAATGCAAAAATGAATGTTATCGTTAATGTTATCAGTGTCGATCATAATCGACGAAGGGTTTTGTTTTTTATCGTGGTTTTCTCCACTATGGTCCTAACGTGGCACCCGACGAGATTTTTTTTCATTCTTCCTCTTTGAAGTTGTCGAAATATTATGTTATTTTTTCCTTCAGTAATGTTAAGTCTTCTTTGAATGTAAGTATTGTACAACCTTTGATGTCATAGTGTGTTTGAGGAAGAGTATTTTTGACAATTTCCTTTATTTGTTCATTCGGTGTCATTGAAATCGGTAAGTTTTCACGATAGAACCAGTTTCTGTCAGATTTATATATCTTAGCTAAGTCATAAAAGCTCTTGTTGTTTCTTCTGACTAAATGTAACATAACCATATCTTTATCTTCTTCTTTCTCCAACTCTTCAGTATATATCATATACTTATAACTCTTTTCCTTTCCTTTTGGTACTGAACGCGGTATTCTTTTCTGTATGCTTTTGTCTTTGGATTCAATGACTTCATCTTTTGCATGAAGTTTCTTTTCCAACTCTCCACGTTCTGCTTTATATAGTTCATCTAACATCATGAAAATATAACAAGCATAACGAGGTGAAGTCCACATTGCTACAGCGTTTACTAAAAGTCTATGAACATAATAACCTTTCAAACCAGGAGCCAAATTCTTGCGATTTTCATACGGAATCTCTTCCCTCGGTTTTCCGAGGGAAGCAATCATATGAGGAAATTCTTCTAAAAGTTCTTTTGTCTGTTGGTTTTCAAACCAATGATATGCTTGCTTTGTAGAACGAAGAGCATTCATTATACTTTGCATTTGTACATATCGTCTTTGACTGAACGAATGAGACGTAACTGTTTTTATACTGTATGTACTCGTATTCTTCATTTATAGCTTCATGGACTATAACTGTTGTTGTGTTCTCTGATGTTGACATTACTGTCTTTACATACAAAATAAAAAAATAAATAAAAATAAAACTAACTTTATTTCTTCTTTATTTCTTTATTCCCGTGGAAGAAGGGTTTTGCCGTTTTTTCTCAGCCGAAATCAATGATTTTTTCATTTTTGGAATCCTTAGCGAATGAGGAATCTTTTCTCTCGTGGAAGCTTTGAACAAAAATAAATTTAGGTGAAGAGGTGAGATTTCACCTCTTTTTTCACCTGTTTTTTCACCTCTTTTTTCACAAGCGTTTTACATGAATTGTACGATGTATATTTGAAATCCTAAACAATTTCGTAGCTTCTATTTCTTCTTTTAGTACATTGAATGTTTTAATCATGCCGAAAGTCTCTTTATATCTCTTCTTGACGTCAGACAGAAGGAAATCTTCTGCTGTTGGATAGTTTTTATTAAGAAATGTCAACATATCCATTTTATCTTCTGCTGGCTTTTCTGCTTCTTTCTTTAAGTCTGCATAGTCGTTTCGCATTCTTTCTATCTCTTTGACTGAGTAGTTATATTTTCTTATTGCTGCTTTACATTTTGAACATTGCGGCATCGTTTTTGCGTTATACATTGAAACATTACCAGCTAAAACAACTAAAGCGTCAATTGCTCTCTTCATCTCAAACATAGCGGGTCTTATTTGTTCGTTCCATACTTTGCCTCTTCTATCTTTATCTCTTATTTCCCAAACACATTTTGCAACTAATGAAACAAAGTTATCGTATGTCTTAAATTCTTCGGATTTGTAAAGGTCAGAAATATTTTTATAAACCATGTCGCATTCTTTGTCCATAACTTTATGGTTGCAATGAAAACCAAGGAATTCATAATTTACTTTACGTATGAATTTCTTAATTTCTACTGAGTCAGTTGCTTTGACTTCAATTTCGTCGAATTCAGGAATAGTTAGTTTTTGCTGCTGAATTTCAGGTAGTTTAGGCAAATGGTCGATGAGGTCCTCCATTTCATAAAGATACTGTTCATTTGTTTCATCTTTTGCACTACAGTCTAAATTACTTGTTAAAAGTTCTTGCTTTATCTTCTGGATTTCTGTTTCAAAAGTATATGAAGAAGGAATAAAGCTTTTCATCTCTACCAACATTGACGTAGGATTCATGACTAACGAGTTTGGTGCTGTAGTTGTGGACAGAGTCCCGCCGTTCGCAGCTTGAATTGTTGTTGTGCCGATTGTTGAAATCATATCTTTTATACAAAATAAAAAAATAAATAAAAATAAAACTAACTTTATTTTTTCTATCTTAAGGAAATTCATGAAAATTCACGAGGGTGAAAAAAGAGGTGAAATCTCACCTCTTCACCTAAACATTATTTTTGTCTGATTTACATCTAATGAAAAAGTTTAGAAGAATTTTCTTATTCTTTCTGGCATATTTTTGTCTTTCCAGTACTCCCGCTCTAATGGTCCCAGATGTGTTGGCTTCGACTCTCTCAAGTTCTTAGATTGTATAACATCTTCAACGCCTCCTTCATATCTTACTTTATAAGTGTCATCGTTTATGTTATAGCCAAGTATTTCAATAACCACTCCTCGCTTTGCTTCGTCAATGGTTTCAGCAAGTTTGCCATTACTACTTTCAACTAATTTATGACGAGGATAAAACGCAATGGAGTCGTCAACAGCTTTTATAAGATATCCATTACATTGCGTAGAGTCTACGATATAATAGTTTCTACTTAACCTTAAACGTTTCTTTGTCAACGGTTTGTCGTCAAGAACTACACGAACTTTTGTTCCAGGAATGAGGGTAAATTGTGTTGAATTTCTGATATTTTGTGTTTGACTTCGTTTCTTTTGTATATACTTTTCTTCTTGTTGTTGTGTCATTGAATTTGGTGTATGTCCTGTTGTAGAATGCGTTGAGGAATTATATACTTCGAGAAAATGTTTCATTGTTTCTTCAGTAAAGTCTCGCTCTTGGTTTAAATCTCTGAGCGTTCTTATGAAGCGGTTTATGATGCCGAGTATGTTATGGTTATGGTCTTCAGTAGTGTAGTGAGTTATGTTATGCTTAATGAGAAAATCTGTGATTTCATTGCTGAGGTATGCACCGTCTTGGTCTGATGTTAAAGTACTTGGGCTATGTTCTGCTACAAACTTTTGTAAAACTCTTAACACTTCACGAGTTCCTTTATTTTTCATTGGATATGCATATGCTTTGCGAGTGTTAACATTAATGAAGATGAGGAATGGTGGCTTTCTTCCTTTCTTACTCTGAACGAGAGTGTCAAATTGGTATGCGTCAGGAGCGTTGGAGTAAATTGGTAAAAAGTAGTCGTAAGGGTTTATTTTTGTTTGATGTACAACATTTTTGTCAAAAACCTTTTCACTTCAGCTCTGTTAGTAAATCCCCAACTCTTTGCAGCTTCATTGAATTTCTTAAATGACCTCCATGGATGTTGTTCGAATACTTCTTTCAAGCTCATTTATGTAAAGTTAAAGATTTTATTCAAGACGGTAAGCCTTGACCCAAAGGGTCTAGGCTCAAGCGCGTTCATTGAACGCGGTACCATGCGAATACAGTCATAAATGGTGGCATATAATCTGCACCCGAGCCTGTTGGATTTGTTGTGAAAGTATGGACATGATTTCCTCCTTTCAGTTGGTCGAAAAGTCTTTTTTGCTGAATTGTTATAAGATAGAGATAAAACGTCATTGCCAGCTTTATAGTCTGAGTTGTATAATGGGTGGTCTCTTAATGAGTGGCTATGGTCGCCAGAAAAGTTTGTAGTTCCTGTATGAGTGTGCGCAGGTAAGTTTGCTTCTTTAATTTTCTTTGAGCCTCCTGTTTGCTTTGAAGAGTTAGCACAGTATAAGAATTTATCTACAATCTGCTGCCACGTACCAAAACCTAAAACACTTGCCGGATTTGTTGAATTCATTGACGTATAAATAGAGCCTATAGGATATATGGTTTCAAGAATCTGAGTCTTCATTGTTTGAAGTTCATGTTTAACATTTATAAATCCATCGCCATCTACAATATTTATATTGTTTGTTATTAAACCATTAGGAAAGTAGAGAGGATAAATATTTTGTTCAACTAAAGGGTACCGTCTCTTCCTGTTTTTGTTACTTCTTCAATGTATGCATTAATTTCTTTAATCCTGATTGTTTGAAATTCTTCATGCACGTGCTCTTTATCAGCTTTTCCATTAACCGCAGCATTTACTTCCGACTTCTTTGCATAATTTTCATCTACATAAGTTTTGTCGGCTTTCTTATCATATAAATCTTGAGCAGTGAATTTAACATTATTTTCATCATCCATGACATAAACATTTTTACAGCTAATGTCTTTCTTCGTTGTTATGTTTTCATTCGATGTTAAACCTTGTGGAAAGTTAGGAGGTTTATAATATAATGCATCCCCACCAGTTCCGCCAACCGTTCCTTCAATACTTTCTATAGCAACAGTTGAGAAGGAGTTATGTGTATGTTCTTTATCTGCTTTCTTATCTAACATTGCTGGTAGTTCATGTGTTTCAAAGTTTCTGACATGACCTTCGATATTCATACATTTGTTATTTAAGGAGTTTAGTGTATCTTTTACGCTTGTACTTGGATTCTCTAAAGGTGCACTTGAACCAGGGGTATAGTTCAATATTATGTCGTCTGCTCTAACAGTAGTGAAGGATTCATGTGTATGGTTCTTGTCAGCTTTACTTTTAATAGCATCTTCAAAAGTTATTTTTGCCTTAACTTTCAAAGTAAATCTTGGTTCAACTAATACACCGTTAACAAAGAAACTAGAGGCATAAATTTCATTGTTATAACCAAATGCTTCTGGTGCTTTACCTGTGTCATACTGTACAGTACAGCGTATGTCATAACCTTCAGCACGAATGTATTTATATCTTCTTTCATTAACATCTTTTGTCTTCACTCTTTCTTCAGTTCGTGTTAAATATCCATGGTAGTCTGTTATAATCTTCGTCTGAACTTATATAATGAACATGGTTTTATCTGCTTTTTCGGCTAATTTCTCTTCTATCTCATTTATTTCAAGTTCATGCCTACCACCACCTCCCGAAGAAGTATTTTTCTTCAGCTCTTGAAGAACGTCCACTTCGCCATCTTTGGTGTCAATAATGAGACTTTGAGTTAAAACCTTTCCTGTCTTAATGGATGTTTGTAAAACTTCTTCTTCACCGTGTTCGGGGTCATGGTCGTCATCATATCTTGCGAAATCAGAGATGTTGTCATACATTAAGCATATCTGTCTCAAAAGTTCTGCTATTTGAAACTGGAACGAAAGATATACAGAACTTTCATCATCTCCTAAAGTCAAGTCTGCTTTCTTAAGTATTTCTTGAATGTATGCAATGAGAACAGAGTACCTTGGAAAATATTCGAACAATATTTCATTAGCTGTTGGTTTTGGTGTTCTTCTGGAGTTTCTGTGTTTCAGTTCCTTCTGTAGGTTCTGTTGGAGTTTCTGCATCTCTTGACTTCAATGCTCTTGCTCTCAAAGACCTAAATGTTAGAGCACCAGGTTTTACAAAGACTTTATAAATGCTTTAATAGTTCCTGTAAGTTATTGTTAGCATTAAGTAAGTTCCTTATGCTTCCATCATGTACGTCCATAGCACTATGTAAAAAATCTATACTTTCTTTGTATCAGTCAAATAGACTGACTGTGATTTTTTAAAGATTTGTCAATACCTTTAAGCCAATCCATGCATGTCTGATACTGAGCATGAAATCATTTGCTTCCTTTAGTGTATTTTGTGCTTCTCGTAAAGTATCCAATCCCGTACGTGCATTGTTTGCTATACGTCTTACAGTATCTATTTGACTCCTTGTTTCTTGCATCCAACCAGATAAAGTTTTAATAGTATCCGAACCATTTGAAATGAAGTTCAAAGCATTTTTAACGTCATCTAAAACTTCTTCACCAAGTACTGCCCATATTTCCGATTTGGTATTGAAGAACTCCATATGAAGCAGCTGTTAAACCAGTATTTATAAGGTTCCATATCCATGATTTAGCAGTTTTTCCATCCTTTCCATCTTCACCATCCAAACCGTTTCGCCTTGAGGTCCTTGTATTCCTTGTATTCCTGTATTCCTTGTGGTCCTTGAGGTCCGGTGTCACCCTTCTCTCCTTTCAGTTCATCTTTATGTTCGTTATAATATTCTAATGTCATAAGGTGTACATCATTACTGCTACCAGCAACGCCGAGAATTTGTTCTCATTCATGACTAAATTCTTTAGGCATTTAATGTTGTCGTCAAATCGAAAGCTCTTTTAACAATTCAATGAGAACATTTAATACTTTCACTAATGAGGCATCTACTGTAGAATTTATATATTGCACCGTTCCATCATTTATGATAGGAACTTACTTATTGTAATGAATGGGTCATAAGTGTTAAAAGTATCGAAATCAATGACTTTTTTAGTTTTTCCATCGTCAAGTGACTAAATCATTGCCTTCAATGGTTAAAGTTGAGTTTTCGTTTACTAGTTCATGTGCTCTTCTTGCTTCATTTGTTTCATACGCATATGCAGCAATAGTCATATTTTAATGAGAATAAAATGTTGTTCTATTTGCAAAGTACAGACCCAAACGAATACGGACAGTAAAGCTACAAACAAACTTAGGTCTTCAGAATGAAGCGCTTGCTTTCAGAGGTGTTGACTTCAATACTATCGCAACTTTTGTCATAACAGATGAAACAGATTTCATAGAGATTGAAATAGATGACAAAAGAATGTTATAACATTTCCTAACAGAGCTGGGTATAGAATAGATAAAATTGCTGGAGTCATAGATACTCTCATAAATGAAGAAACTATTGACAACATAGATGTCGAACTCTTCTTCTGAGGAACATTGAAGTTCAGCAGCGAAAAGAGTTTAAGATACCAAGAATGAGTCATAGAGTTCAATTGCTTCTGGGAGTTACCATATGACATTTCCTTTGAAAATGTTGACAAAACGATTTGAGATGAAATCTGTCCATATGTATGTTATGCAATTTTTTACATTGAGTCAAAAATAGCTAATGTCACAGGTATTTCAGGAGTTAATAGTAAAGGTTCAGTAGAATATAAGTCTTTCTGTTATGAAGTAAATTCAATGTTCATTCCAAACGTTCCTGTCTAGCAACTCATTTAGGTAAATGGGTTTCGCAAGTCCTCATAATTTGAAAGACATGAATTCAGACTTGTTGACTTTCAAGAGAGCCTGTAGAACTGAAGGCACCAGTGCGAATGACTGTTGAAGTTGACTTTTTAGAAAATATTAAATGCAACAGCTTACAAGAGAACTCAGAGCTAAAAATAAAGTATGAATGTTATGTATTAGGTCATGAACTTTTGTTGCTGTTTGATGAAACAAATGAGTTAGTTATGTCAGTCAGAGAACAGAAAAATATTGTGTTAGTGAAAACTGCACCAAGTCAATAAGATTAGGTTTGCATTATGAAGATGAGTCGATACTGTTGAAGAAGTTTGGATAGATATTACAAATTGCTAACTTGAAATTTTTTGACTGACGGCGCAAAGCGCCAAGACCGAAGGTCCTGACTGCTTTAATTTACTAAAACATATTTCAAACAAACTTATATCATCAGAGATAGTTTGTATACTCGTTCGAATATCTATACTTAAACTCAACTCCTGTAGTTCCTGGTGTTTCAATGATGCGGATGTTACCTATTTTCATGAATATTGGCGTTTGACCACAGCATTCGATTTCAGGGTCGAGATAGTCAATGACACATTGTTTCCCTGTTATTCGTGATATAACATTTTCAATCCTCCTTTGTTAGAATTATTTGGTTCTTGCTTATAAGATTTCAAAAGCTTCTTATCGTCTTTGAGTAAAATTGTTTGGTATAACTGAAGAAGGTAATGGTCTACGTTATCTGAAGGATTTGTTTGA